ATAGACCATAGATAGATATAGATACACCATAGATATATATATACATATACACCATATATACACAATAATATACATTCCATTTTTTCTTTTCTTCCGTATTTTTATCTAGTTTAATAATACGAGATTTTCGGTTTCGTGTCGCGAGCAAACTGATTTTCTCCCCCTTTTTCTTTTAATTTCAGCATATTATTTTAGCTAGTAAAATTCCTATCATATTTCTCCACCTCACCTTCACCTAAAAATTCCATGTTCGATTTGAATTGTTCGAGTTGGATTTCGACAAGGTTGCGGAAGGGCGAAAGAAGAATCGACTATTTCAGCCCTGTTATGCGCCAAAAGCGGTTTCCGGGTAGTTCAACGTAGCTAAGTACGCGGGAGCCTTGTCGACCTGCTTAGTTGCTGTTCTGAATTCGATTTTGATTAAAGAGTGGTAATAAAAGGGGTAGTACCACTAGCGGAACGGTTGGAAGAATAATTCATGGGGCATAGGCGGGGGTCTATTGGGTCACAGAGATTCCTAGTGATAGTAGGGTTTCTTGCTTATAATGTTCTTCGCCGGGTGTCGCTGAAGCCTCGTTGTAAATCCCCCAAGATCAAGTACCGACCGAGTCGAGAATCGGCTTAAGCGAGCAAATGCGATCACGTTCATATCTCTGTGCCGCCTCGCAATTATACATATATTTTTCGCTATCACGCCATCGTCATCCCGCTCATTTCATCCATGGAAATCTAGCCATTAAGGAACGCAAAAGTCAGACACAAACGCCTCGCTTCATCCTTTTCGAGATACGTATATTTTATCGTTTTTTTAGTTAGATTTAATTTCCGCAATTTATCTTTTCAGTTTCTTCGATTGCATTAACTCATTGCACTTTTTCTAATTAAATATAGGATATTCGCATATTCCCTGAGTTCGACCCGGACACTCACCGGTTAAAGAGATTTTTTATTTTTGACGAAGTTTTTGGAGTGACTACACGAACACACATGACACTATTTTCATTTTATACATATATCATTTTTTTTTTTGTATCTTAAAAGATATTTTAAAAACTCTCCAAAAATCTTCGATCAGGAAGCCCGCGGTCGGATAGGCAGGTCGGGAAGTCCGCGGTCGGATAGATAGGTCGGTTGGTCCGCAGACGGATAGCCAGGTCGGTTGGTCCGCAGGCGGATAGACAGGTCGGGAAGGTTCGCGGTCGGATAGGCAGGTCGGTTGCTGCGAAGATCAAGTGGGAGGAACAGTGGTCGCTTGGTGGGTGCGGCCAAAGAATCGTTTGGTCTAGAAAGAAGAGAGAAAGAAATATAATCAATTATATAAATATATTTTTTTTATATCTGTGCAACCAACCAATTTAAAATAAAAAAAAAATTATAATTTTTTTCTATTTTATTAAAAAATTAATTCATACAAACTTATATATATACTGAATTGGTCGGATAGAGAACCGTCCAGTAGCTAGTCTCTTGGATAGAAAGATGAGAGAAATAAATATAATAAACTATATAAATATATTTTTTTATATCTGTGCAATCGACCAATATAAAAAATATATTTTTTTTGGATATTTTTTTTTCTATTTTATTAAAAAAATATTTTCTACAAAATGATATATATACTGAATTGGTCGGATAACAAGGAGGAGAACCGTCCAGTCGGTTGGGATAGAAAGAGAACATAAAGAAATATAATATAAATTATATAAATATATATTTTTTATATATATGTGCAAACGACCAATTTTTTTTAAAAAAATTATTTTTGTTTGGATAATTTTTCAACTTATATTATTGTTGAGCACAAAAAATAATAATAATAATGGTAATAGTAGCAGGGTCTTAAAGGAGGTCGGACGAAGAAAGATGAGATGGGAGACACGGAGGTTGGCCAAGTAGAAGGCAGGCGAAAGAGACATGGTAGTGGACATGCAGGTCTGAAAGGCAGTTCTGGGCGGTGCAGGTCTGGTAAAAGGCAGTTATGGGGCGGTTCAGGTCTTGTGAAAGGCAGTTCTAGAGTTTCAGGTCGGGTGAAAGGGAGTTATTGGGCGGTTCAGGTTGGGTGAAAGAAATATAATAAATTATATAAATATATATTTTTTATATCTATCCAACCAACCAATTTTTTTTTTTTAAAAAAAAATTATAATTTTTTTCTATTTTATTAAAAAATTATTTTCTACAAATTAATATATATACTGAATTGGTCTGATGGAGAACCGTCCAGTAGCTAGTCTCTTGGATAGAAAGAGGAGATAAATAAATATAATAAATTATATAAATATATATTTTTTATTTTTGTGCAACCAACCAATTTAGAAAATATATATTTTTCTTTGGATATTTTTTTTCTATTTTATTAAAAAAATATTTTCTACAAAATGATATATATACTGAATTGGTCAGATGACAATGAGGAGAACCGTCCAGTCGGTTGGGATAGAAAGAGAACAGAAAGAAAATATAATATAAATTATATAAATATATATTTTTTATATCTGTGCAAGCAACCAATTTAAAAAAATATATATTTTTCTTTGGATAATTTTTCAAATAATATTATTGTTGAGCACAAATAATAATAATAATAATAATAATGGTAATAGTAGCAGGATCTTATAGGAGGTCGGGCAAAGAAAGATGAGATGGCAGACATGGAAGTCGGTCAAGTAGAAGGCGGGCAAAAGAGACATGGCAGTGGACATGCAGGGTCTTAAAGGACGTCGGTCAAAAGAAGGTCGGTCGAAAGAAGGTTGGGCGAAGGAAGATGAGACGGACGATAAAGAGGTACGGCTAAATGAGGTCAATCGAAAGAGAAAGTCGGACGAAGGACGGCTGATAAGAAAGTCGGACCAAATGAGGTCGGCCGAAGAAGGCTGAAAAGGCCGATATGGAGGTCGGGACAAATGAGGTCGGACAAAGACGGATGAGACGGACGATACGGTAGTCGGACCAAATGAGGTCGGGCGAAGACAGATGAGACGGCCGATACGTAGGTCGGATGAGAAGAAAGGAGGAGAAACATCCATTAAGTAGTCGGTTGGGATAAAAAGATGAGATAAAGAAATATAATAAATTATACTTTTTAGGTACAAAAAATAATAATAATAATAATAAGGATAATGGTAGCAGGGTCAAAAGAAAGAGGTCGGTCAGAAGAAGGGAGGTCGAATGAGCAGGTCGGATGGTCTGTAGTTAGTTAAGCAAGTCGGTTGGTGTGCGGTCGGGTTCGGCGTTGGATGGTCCGCGGTCGGATAGGCAGGTCGGGAAGTCCGCAGTCGGATAGGCAGGTTGGGAGGTCCGCGGTCGGATAGATAGGTCGGTTGGTCCGCAGGCGGATAGCCAGGTCAGTTGGTCCGCAGGCGGATAGACAGGTCGGGAAGGTTCACGGTCGAATAAGCAGGTCGGTTGCTGCGAATATCAAGTGGGAGGAACATAGTTTGGTCATTTGGTGGCCAAGGAATCGTTTGGTCTAGAAAGAGGAGAGAAAGAAATATAATCAATTATATAAATATATATTTTTTATATTCTCTATAAGAGCAGCCGTCTAGTCGGACCAAAATTTATTTTGTTTTGCGTGCCCACCAAATTCAAAAACCCCTGCATTAGTTTCAAATGCATTTTTTAATATATCATAGATTTAAAATATTATAACTAAATTATTGTATTAAAGTAAATTTTACTATCTACAAAATGATATCCATATCAATATATTTTCTACAACTAAATCACTACAAATTAACTAATAGAATTTGAAAAACACAAACCTCAACAATACCCAGTATCTTCAGTATAGGGGTAAATTGACAAATTTAGTCATTCTTGCCCATTTAGTAGGAGGGGTGAAATAGTCATTTTATATAGCCATTTTCACATCTTGGTATATGTAAGTATTAAATTATCTCTTTTACAAAAATTAGTTTATATTAATTAAATAAACATAAGGTATTTTTTTATTTAACTGTATTATAAAAAATATTATTATTTTTTATAAAATATATTGATATTATATACTCCCTTCGTCTCACCACAAATGACTCAATTTCTTTTTTGCTACGTCCTACAAAAGATGATCTATTTCTATTTTTGGCAAGTTTATCAATTTTAAACATACTTAACAAATATTCCTTACGTCCCAAACACTATGCAGCATTTCTTTTTTGGAATGTCCGAAACACCATGCAACATTTTCAAAATAGGAAATAATTAATTATATTTAATCTCTACCCTACGTTTTATCCCCTCACATTATCCAAATAAAAAAATAAAATATATATTTCTCTCTCCATCATATCACCTAATTTCTAAATTATCCTACTTAATACTACCCACCTAAAAACCCGTGTCAAAGCAAATGTTGCACCTTGTTTGGGACAGAGGGAGTATAAATCAGTTTAATTAAACTTCTGACATCTTACACGTAGGACCCACTCAAAACCCCTTTATTTCTATATATCTCCTCAATTAACAAATATTTTTATCTACCTTTAAAACTTCTCATTTTTTATCAAACTAATTTATCATAATGATAAATAAATAAATTTTTTTTTATTCATTTGTATTATATAAAATTTTATTGTATCCATATTGCATATATTTTATTGAGATATAATTGTAAAAATATTTAAAATACCAAAAATATTACATGTATAAAAAATAATAAAATATTATTTTTAATTTATTATTAATAACTTAAAGACTCCATCTTTCGCGGGAAGGAGTGAGTATATTTTTTATTGTCATCTAATTTTTAAAATATTTAATTATATTTAAAATAGTAAAATAATATTATAATTTAAATGAAAATTATCAATTTTTTTTAATTTTTTTTTAAATTATCAATTTACAGGGGTATAATTAACAGATATGGTGACGATGAGATGCCCGGCGGCCACGGCCGCCGCCGACATCATAAATGGTTTTGCACGTGTGTGAATTCGAAGAATACCGTGGGCAGTTTTGGCCATAAATAATTCATATGTACAGCGACGTTAATGGCAATCCAAACGAAGGCGTTGAGCGCAGACACTGTCGTCATCTCTGACTTGACTCTTCTCTCCTCTTGCGACGAAACGCCCCGCCCCCACCGCTCTGCAGCTATAGATAGATCTTTTCTTTATTTGGCTCATCCAAAACTGCCTTTGATTCTGCTGGAAATGGTTAAAACCGCCCCCTGTTTTCTGGATTTCATCCCCTCCCCTTCCCTTCCCTTTACAGCTAAACCTTTTCCCTAATTTAAATAAACCCTAGCTCCATACCCAATCCCTCTGCTCTAGTCCGATCGCGTACTTTTTGCCTTTTTTCCGCAATTGGATTCCACGTAGTTGGACGGATAGCTTTTGTTGGCTGCGATTCTGCGACAATACTGATTGAAATTCATGTCCACCTCGGAAATTATGTCCAGTTTCAAGCATGTCTCGGCCGAGGGAGATTTCTTCATTTGGAAGGAGTTTGCGAGCTCTGATTTCGGAGTGAATCAGCAGAGTTCTGGATTGGCGAGGTACCGATCTGCTCCAAGCTCGTTCCTCGGTGCGCTGTTGGAATCTACCGGTGATAATAGCAGCAGCGGCGATGAATCGGAGGCGTTCTTCTCCGCCTTGTTGGATGCGCCGCCGCGTGATCTGAATCAGAAGAGCGGTTACAGTCAGCTGCAAACTCAGTATCTGATGAAGCAGGAAGTTGAAAAGGAGTCACCGGAGGTGCAGACCGGGTATGAGAATGGAAGCGTCGGCGGAGGTGCGGTGGTTGGATCTTATTCCGTCGGAATGGAGATCAGCAGCGTTCATTTGAATCGTAATTCCTCCAATACTCTTGTCAGGCAAAGCAGCTCCCCCGCCGGATTTTTCAATGGTAAATTTGCTACACACAATACGATCTGTTTTTTTTGGAACCTTCTCTTGGTTTGTTGAGTGATTCTTCTGGTGGAAGGACTCCATTGTTTGTCTTTGAGCTCTCCTTTAAGATCTGAATAACACATAAATGTGAAGAACTTCGACTGCCATTTCGTTGGAGCATTTGTGTTGTCTGCTAAAGCTTCTCTGTTATTTTTCTTTGCTAACATTGACATTGATCATCGACAAAGTGTCAAATTCTTGTGAGCTGTGGATTGTTACATCTACTTTGGTTCCTTATGTCTGATCAATTGTTGCAGGGAACTACAGCGTCAACAATCATGCTGACAAGAGCTCATCGCATGGCACTTTGGGCAATCACATGGCCTTCTCATCAGGTCCATCTTCTAGCTTGAGGTTCATGCCGAGCATACCCGAAAACGGAAGTGAAAGAATTGGTGCATGTGGCCCTGAAACCAGTCAGATGAGAAATGATAATAGTGCATTCCGACAGGGCTCATGGAACGAATCTCAGTTCAAAAGCTTGAAAAGAAACCGGGATAGCGAAGACAATATGTTTTCCAACTTCAATGGATTGGAAAATCTGGTATGGATCGACACTCTACCGTTCATCGATTGCTGTAGTATATTACTGCTGCCTAATGATGTTAATTATATCCGTGTGCTGCTGTCTGTGTTTGATCAGAACGATGAAACAAGCAAAAAATCTTCTGGTTTAGTTCACCACTTGAGCCTTCCCAAAAATACCAGCAAAGTGGCAGTGGTGGAAAAAATTCTCCATTTTCAGCAAGAGACAACGGTGCCGTGTCAAATGCGAGCAAAACGAGGTTGCGCCACTCATCCAAGAAGCATTGCTGAAAGGGTAATACATAATTTGTGTTCTTATACATTTTGAACCGTTGAAATGCGCTCTTCTATATACAAATATGTGATATCACATGCGGATGTGCAGATGAGACGGACTCGGATTAGTGAGAAAATGAAGAAGCTGCAAGATCTTTTCCCAAACATGGATAAGGTAAGATACCCGTTAATCCACTTGCACCTCGCGTGTTATAATTATTATTGTCCTTAAAGTCATGACCTGATTTTGTTATTGCAGCAAACAAACACGGCTGATATGTTGGACTTGGCAGTCGATTACATTAAAGACCTTCAAAAACAAGTTCAGGTAATAATACAGACAACCTTCTTTAATCAAAAGATAGTTACAAGTTCAGGTAATAATACAGACAACCTTCTTTAATCAAAAGATAGTTACGATTGGCATCAATAAGAATTTTCTTCTTCCTACCATAGGTGCTCACGGATGCAAAGTCGAAGTGTAGTTGCTCAAGTAAACGTCAATGACGAATGTGTCCTTTCCCACGATGCTTCTGGTACAACGACTAAACCGTGGTAGATAAGCTTAGATTGTTTGTATCTTGATTCACCTAGTAAGGCCTCGATGCTTGTTTGAGCCTGAAATTCCTTCATGCGATAATTTATCAAAAATTATTGCATAAACCATGACAGAGGCTTATCTCAATTATGTATAGGTTTACACGTTTCACCTTGCAGTCCATAGTATGCGTCTTCGAATTGATTTAGTTTTGTAATTTCATCGATAACTTGTGTATAGAAGGTGCTTAAATGCATTCCTCTTTTGTCGAATTGATCACTGCGATTGGAATTCGGAATTCTTGATATTTTGAAGAAAGGATTTAGATAGTCTGAGACATGACAATAGTCTAAGAAGTACAGCTATAGCCGATAACTACTAATCTTTTTGGCGACGACTATGACTTGGAAAAACATTTGACGTACTAACTGGAAAACTATCGATCTATACTATTTATTCGTTCACATCAAAGTAAGTAGTTTCCGGTGCTGCTACAGCCATGGTACTCTTCCAATCACTTATTAATGCATTCATCTTTGCATCAGATTGTCTTCTCACTTTGCCATTTCACCTGCACAAGAACATACACACACACATACGAACGCATGCATGAGTTATTCGATGGCTGTAGTTCTAATTGTAAAATAGCAGATAGTTAGAATAGAACCTACATGGTTCGAAATTGGCCGCGCACTTCTCAGGGAGTTGCATTGCCATAGCTCGATCGACACCAGAAATCGGAGGTCCATTGACAAGCACGCAGAGGCAAGGCTGGCCTAGAGCTTTCACCGAAGCACAGCAAGCTTCGCTTGGGGGAATCGGACTGAACGGAGCGACGGCAGCCCTGCAAGGGATGAGCTGAACGAGGGCCGCGAAAAAGGTGCTCCCGCAGAGATGACCCGCGCTTTCGTGCACGAGAGCAGCCATGACCAGCACCTGAATCAACAACAAAGGTAAGGCCTTGGTTTCTTGAACTTTCATATTTGAACTTTTACTGCTTTAATTCAACACTAGTATAAAAGGTTCGACACTTCGAATGTGCAGCGTCGAGTCGAATAAAATCGAAGTAGCAATTTATTGTGATCAATGTGTGTCTATATATATAAGCTTGTGGGAATGGATATATGCCTTCCTGTGCTTCTTTCCTAACTCAATGTCACACTTGATTCGTGTGCTGAAACTTGTTACTGTCAAAGTGTCAATTACATCATGATTTCTCTAATTCTTAGCTGCTCAAGAACATTGAACCGTGATTTGAACTAACGGCTGATATTAGAACCGGTTCGGTTCGGACCGGGTCCGGTCTAAGCCCGCTCGCCGCGGATCCGCCGGGCGAGCTGGATGTCCTTGGGCATGATTGTCACGCGTTTGGCGTGAATAGCGCAGAGGTTTGTGTCCTCGAAGAGTCCGACCAAATACGCCTCCGCCGCCTCCTGCAGCGCCGCCACGGCGGAGCTTTGGAACCTGAGATCGGTTTTGAAATCCTGCGCTATTTCTCGGACTAGCCTTTGGAAGGGGAGCTTGCGGATCAGGAGCTCCGTCGATTTCTGGTACTTCCGGATCTCGCGGAGCGCGACGGTCCCCGGGCGGAAGCGGTGGGGCTTCTTCACTCCTCCGGTCGCCGGGGCGGACTTGCGGGCGGCTTTGGTGGCTAGCTGCTTTCTCGGTGCCTTGCCTCCGGTGGACTTGCGGGCAGTCTGCTTGGTGCGAGCCATGGGAGCGATTGGAGATTGGGGAGTGTGTGGAAGTGGAAGCTCGAGTAGAGACGGCGGCGATGCGGTGGAGATGGCGGTGGTAGGGTTTAAAAGGGGGAGTTGAAGCGGTGGGTTAGGGAAGGCCGTTGATTTGGGGGATGATGGACGGCTGAGATTTGAATGATTTGATCTGAATCCGTGGTTGGGTTTGAGAACCAATAGAATGCTGCCGCGTCATTTATGCAGTGGTTTGAAAACCACTGAGAGTTGGTCGTTTTCCCGCTTTCGTTAGCGGAATTTACGATTTCGGACATCAATGTTTCTGTTAGTACTTTTACTAAATAGCCCCTCTAAATAGTCTTTGGAGAAACTTATGTTTTGTTTACCTAACGCATTTTAATTTATTTGATATTATTTATTTTTTAAAAAATATCATATTAAATATATTTTTTATCTCATAAAACATCAAATCAAATTGTTATCGATTTAGTGACATAATTTTAGGGGACAAATGAAATATGATACTCCATCTAATTGCAATAGATTTGGTACTGAAAAGATAAAATAATTGTATGCGTAATGATAAATTTTAAATTTAAGTAAAAGTTAAATGTAATTTTGCAATACAATGTATGATTATTTTTACAAAAAAAAAAAAAAAATACTTTCGATTAAGATATACAAAAATGATAAAAAAAAAAACTTAAAAATGAAACGTATATAATATTGTTTTTATTAATTCTGTTTGTCTCATCAAAACAATTTTTTTCGATTTAGTAAAAATAATAACTCCAAAATTCCATTTTTATCTTTATAAAATACTATTTACAAAATTACCATACCACATAATAAATCAATAAAAAAATAAAAAAACTTGATGTTTTAAGTGAAACATGCTATATTTTCTGCTAAAACATGTAATATAATTACTTTGCATCCGAATACAGTTAAAAAAAAAAAACATTATATATTAATTTTTATTTTGAAGTATATATATTTTTTTTTATAATTTAAGATAAAAAGTACACATTCTTTCTGATATAAGTACAAGACAATAAAGAGATACCGTGTAGATACAATATTAAATTTGTGTATATACAATTTTCTTATAGCATAACCTTAAACTAATAATATACTTAATCCGTTCCATATAATTTGTTCTTATTTTTTATTTTTGTTCGTCCCATATAATTTGTTATTTTTTAAAAATATAATTATATACTTTAATCACATTTTAAATTTTATATTATATATTTTTCTTAATTATATTAATTAAACTATTTAATTATTTTTACAAATACACTTTTTAATTATTTACTAATTATATTTTATTTTTAATTATTTACTAATTATATTTTATCTACGTGAACAAGCCCAAATTATATAAGACAGTAATATATTAAAATATTATTTGTTTTTTTTTTTTTTTTTTTTTAATTTATGTCCACGTGAAATGTGACATATCCCACATAATTATTTTATTCTAAAATGCGATGATGAAAGCCTCTTTAAACAAGAGTTTTGCAACTTTGAAAGGTTATGAAATTATTAAAAAATACTTTCACTGAATTAAAGTTTTAATATAGTACTTTTAAAAAATATATATATATACATGTGTTTCTTTAATAATTTTAAACTAATTTTTTAATAGACAAAAAACTAGATATTAATATAAAAATAATATTTTATATTAATTTATTTAATCAAATATATTTTAAAATTTACAAGTGTGTACACAATGGGTTCAGTTTAAACGCATAGTTTTTAGATTTTTAGAGTTTTAGAAAAATTGAAATAAAAAATTAATACTTAATTTAATATTTAAAGAAATAATAAGTATACTTGATGGAATACTAAAGGGTTATTTGGTTCATGGATTTTTTTTTGTGGGATTGAAATTTCACAGCATGTGATAGGATTTATTATATTTATGATTTGATGGTAAAATTACGTGGGATTTATATTTTTTACGTCTTGTTTGTTTTTTTATATGAGTGGAAGGATTTGAATTTTTTATATTCTAAATGACATAATTGTCCCTATGAATTTTATTTATTTTCATAAATTAAACATCTAATTTATAATAAATATAAATTAAAAATGTATTAATAATTTTATAGGGATTACAATAGGTTATCGTAAACTCGACACCCGATTCGAACCCGACCTATTTATTTGAAGTTGAGTCCAATTATTTGAGTATTAGATCTTGACCCGGGTCATATTATGGGTATTCTAATCGGGTCTAGGGTCTTAGCGGACTATACCCGCACCCAGATTCGATTTATAATATTAATAATATATCGACTATACATATGAAAAAATAATTTCTAACAATATAATTATATTAAATTTTTTTTAAGTGTAATTTATTTATTATTTTATTATAATATTTTTTTCATAAAATACATAAATAATATATATTGGGTCGGTACATGTGTAATTTTAAATTAAAATTTAAGAATTGTAAAAAAGAATTGGATTTGTTAGATCCATCGGATTTTACCAGGTATAGTTTCGACCGGATCTGGTATAATAAGATCCAATTTGGATATAAAGTCTAACAATATATATATTTTGGACGGATCTCAGTTCCGGCTGAATCCGACTTATTGTCATTCTGATAATTTTATAATTTAAATAAAATTTATAATAAATAACAATTTAAAACAATAAATTTATGAATTTACTTAAAAAATATTTTACCATAAAAAATAATAATATTAATTTAATTTAATATATAATTCAAATAAAAATTAATTTTAAATAAATATATTTATAATATATAATATACTTTTTATATATATAAGGATATAAAAGTAAAATTTAAAATCTCATGGAATGGGATTTAAAAGTAACAGGGGTACCAATTACTAATAAATCCCTAATTTGTAGGATTTTGGACCATATTTTTAAATTCCATTATATTTTTTTGAACCAAACATGGATTTTTTTGAATAGTAAAAATTTTGGGGGTTTGGATTTTGAGTTGAGATTTGAATAGTAAAAATTTTGAATTTGAATAGTTGTATGATGCGATATAAATAAGTGTTGATGTGATGTTTTGAATGTAAAATTAATTTTTAGTATAATATAAAAAATAAAAAATAAGTATTTGATTTGATGTTTTTTGGGGAAAAAAATGAGATGAATGGTGAAAATCTAATCCAATCTCCCAAACAAACACACCCTTATAGTGTTTGTTTGGGGTATGGATTTTGAGTTAAGATTTGAATATTAAAAATTTTGAATTGTAATAGTGGTATGATTTGAAATAAATAGGTGTTGATGTGATGCTTTGAATGTAAAATTGATTTTTAGTGTAATATAAAAAATTAAAAATAAGTGTTTGATTTGATATTTTGCGGAAAAAATAAATTGTGAATTTAAATTCAATCCCCAAACAAACACACCTTAGTTAATTTTTTAAGGGTGTGTGTTTGTTTGGGAATTGAATTTAAATTTTGTTTGTTTGGGGATTGAATTTAAATTCTATTCATCCCATTTTTTTTTTTCAAAAACATTAAATCAAACATCTATTTTTTATTTTTTATATTATACTAAAAATTAATTTTACATTCAAAACATCGCATCAACACCTATTTATATCACATCATACAACTATTCAAATTCAAAATTCTACTATTCATATTTCAACTCAAAATCCAAACCTCCAAACAAATACACCCCTACCCCTACCCCTAATGTGTATTTTATTGTTTTTTTTTAAATTATTTTTATAAAATATTTCATTTTAATTCGTGATTTTACCGTCACAAAATCATTCAAACAAAACATATTATATTTTGGTTATGTTCTTTTGAGATTTTACAAAGTTTTCACAATTCAAATTTATTTTTTCATTTAAAAATATCAAATTAAATAAAATTATTATTATTTTTATATATATTATACAAATAAATTTATTTTACATTCAAAACATCACATCAATCTCTATTTATATATACATAAAAAAAAAAAAAAAAAAATTCGATTTTTAGTTATTAAAAAATCTAAACCCACAAACCCAATAGTTTGTTAACTTTGTTTGGAAGAGAGTATTATAAATAAATAAAAAAGTATGATATTGATGGTGTGGCCTGGAACATGAACATGGCTGTGCTGTGATTGTGAATACCGACCGAGTCTTCTTCGGCTAATTAGAGAAGACGATACAAACCAAAGCCCACTCACTATAAAACCACACTCCAAACAATCCGCCGTCCTCCTCCTTTCCCTTAACCACACTCTCCCTCCTCCAGCCACCGCCGCCGCCGCCGCGCTCATACAAAAACCTCTTCCCCAAAACCCTCCTACGCTCGAGAATCCCGTGCTCACGCCCTCGACGCTTTGAGATTGCGCGCTGAGTCATTGTCGCCTATCCTCCATTGGTATTTGTCCTTTATGACACCATTTCGGCTTCAATCCAATCGATTAATGATATGAGATTTTGTTGCGTGTCCAATAGACGGATGTGTTTTTTTTTTTTTACTGAATGATTTAACTTTGTTTGTTGACGAGGTTTAGCTGTTTAGCTGCGGCGCTGATTGATTGGGCTTGTAAGCTTCGTGTCTGTTGTGTTTTGATTTTTCTATAGTTTGCGATGATGAGTTTATTGGAACCCTGCATTGTGTTTTGTATGGCTTTGAGTTTTGTTTGTTGAGATATTTAGCTTTCCGAATATGAATGAAACTGTGTTTCAGGTGGATTGGAAAGTGACTTGTATTTTGTTCAGCGTGCTTTTCATTGGATAAAGTAGGTTGCAGGTTAGAAAAAATGACGTGCTTTTTCTTCAATGTTCATATGTTTGTTTAGCATCTTTAATGTAGGGATTGTGTTCTATTCGATTGTTATGCGTGGTTGTAGAAGTGCGTAAGGTTTTTGGTGTTTCTTTTTCTATTACTGATTTTTGGTTTTCTTGATACTAGGGTTAAGATGGCAGGAAAGTCGAATAAGGGGAAGAACCGAAAAGGATCACAGGCAAGTGCTACAAATTTGTCAGAGCAGGTCGCCTCTGCGAGTTCTTCTCAGGCAAATGGAGATGAAAGCTCAAGCAAATCAGTGGACACAGAGTTAGAAGTGAAGGGAGAGGATAATGGATCTGTGGAGCATCCGCCAAAGCAAGGTACAAATATGAATTTCATGCCTTTCCTTGTTTTCTAAGTAGTAAAGCATTTATGATTCATAATTTCATTTCTATCATGCAGGAGCAAAGCTGAATAAACATATATATATTGGATAGAAACTTGTAGATTTAGAAAGAGGAAAGCTATTGAGTTCTGTTTGTTTGGTTGAACTTAAAATGACCTTAACTTTTCCACAAGTTTCGGTAAAAGGAACGACTATCTGGTTAGGATCATCAAAGGTTAGATATGTGTGTTGTAAGCCAAGTTTATAATTAGTAAAAAAGCACGCAGCCTTTTCAAACTATAGACGGTATGCTTAGCTTAGCAGTTTTGTTCCAAGTATCTGCTGCTAGATTATTGATAGTTGGCTTAATGGATGTACAACGTGCGCACATTTCATATTGAATGTAGAAATTTGATACATTATTCAGGCTCAGGCGCATATGATACTGTCATGTTTAAGATCATCAATCCAAGAAATGTAGTATTATTAAGGAGGGGAAATATATCTTTCTAATGCGAAATGAATAGTGTAATATTTTATTATTATTAATTTTCTTTTAGCATTGCCTTATTGGAAGACATAGAATTGATTTGCTGCCGATTCACCAGCATTTCTAATTCATAACATGTATGCGGTGGCTCTGTGGAAAGTTTATGCCTTTACCTTTAATTGGCTTTTGTCACCATCATTTCGCAACCGTTGCCTCAAAATTTTCTATTGCTTGATTCAATGGATTTGCATTAACTTTTAATTCTCAAGTTCTTGTTCCAATGTCCCATGTTTCTTGTCCAACTGTGTCAGAATTGATTTATTTCCATTTCCCGCATTAAACATGCAAAAACTGACATTTATCTTCTTTTCTTATGGCAACAGATGGTCAACTTTATCCTGTTTCTGTGAAAACGCAAGGAGGTGATAAGCTTGATTTGCAGGCAAGCCAAGTTCTTTGTAACTTTGAAAGTTAAAAAAGCATCTAAACTTCTTGCATGCATGCTTAACTTTTTTGTTGTAGCTATGGAATGTATTACGTGCACACGCACAAGCTCACGCCCACACACACATATATATACTATATTCTATTTTCCATATTAATATGCATCAGATCTTGAAGCATGTGACTGTTCTTCCATGATTTGTTTTTATTTATTTATTTATTTTTTTTATGCTTCTCTCTCATAGCTTAGGGCATTATTGAATGTTTGCCTTATTGATTGAAATCAATTGGTTTTACAGTTGAGTCCTGGGGACACTGTAATGGATATTCGGCAATTTCTTCTTGATGCCCAAGAGACATGCTATGTTACTTGCTATGATTTGTTACTGCATACAAAGGATGGCTCAATTCATCATTTAGAAGATTACAATGAAATCTCTGAAGTTGCTGATATTACTTCCGGGAGCTGCCATTTGGAAATGGTTTCTGGTGAGCTTTGCAATGCTTGGGTTGCTTCAAGGAGCAATATTAAATGTTGAACTTTAACTGCAATTTATTATTTTCCCTGGGAATATAACAAAGAAGATATAGTTTTCTCTCAATTATTATTGCATTTATTTTTCTGCGTGTATCGATATGATTTCCTTCAGAAAGAGTTTTCAAATTTTATATTTTATGTACATATCAACCATGCAGGGATGGGAACAATTGGTTGTACTGAGAAGCTTAAATTTTATTAACCTAAATATGTCTTGTTGGGGGGCAATTTTCTCAATCTCAATTTGAGATGGTGATTTCTAAATTAAAATAGAAGGAACTCTCATGCTTTTTCTTTCTTGTTTTCTTGAAACAAAACTAATTAAATGGTGCACCCATATATTTCCCGCCAATTTACTGCTGGATGGATTATTCTCCCGACAGGAGAGAAACTACTTTTTTGGAAGCTTAGACACTACCTGATCTTTTTATAATCATGACCTGAAACCACTGACTTAATATAACATCTTCTACTGAGTTTTAAGGCCAAATGTGCATGAGTTTCTTGAAGAATAAAATTTTGATTTGGAAACTGCCATCTAAGAGGCGACATTATGAGATGGAAACTTTGGTTAATTTACTGAACTGTTCAATTTTGGTTGTTAAAAACTTGAAATTGGACAATTATTTATGGAACCTCAGAAAGCAAGCTACTAATGAATCTAACTTAAAGCTCTCTTTCCAGCATTATATGATGATCGATCCATCAGGGCCCATGTTCAGAGAACTAGAGATTTACTCGCTCTTTCTTCATTAAATACCTCTCTGTCGACAACCCTTGCATTACGCCATGATACAAATCAAAATACATCTGCTACTTCAGGAGGTTTGTGATTTGTTTTCGTGTATATATTATATATATTATTGTATCTTATTTTGTTGCTCTTTCTATTTCTTCTTTTGATTAATTTTATTTTTCCAATTGGATACTATCTTTGAGGGTTTCTAACTCCACTGTTCTTTGTCTGCATACAGATGCTGTGAAAATTGAAGTTCCAGAACTTGATAACTTGAGTTTTATGGAAAGCAACACCGCTTCGCTCACTAATTTGCTATCTTCTCCCCGAGAAGGGATGAAATGTGTTGACAGTATTGTGTTCTCTTCTTTTAATCCTCCTCCAAGCCACAGAAGGTAGTATTAGTTTCACATAGTCTTTTTTATTTGTATAATATATATATATAGTTTTCATAGGCAGATCTGTGCTAACCAACAGAGTTTGATTTTCTGATTGCATCAGGCTATCTGGAGACTTGATTTATTTGGATGTTGTGACACTGGAAGCAAATAAATATTGTGTCACTGGAACAACTAAATCCTTCTATGTCAATTCGAGCTCAGGCGATATACTTGATCCAAGGCCACACAAAGCTGCATATGAAGCAACAACCCTTGTTGGACTTCTGCAAAAGATCAGCTCCAAGTTCAAAAAAGGTGACCTATTGAATCTCACGTTCCCACTGACACACACACACACACACTGCGCTCACATTTACTTTTCACTTTAAAAACTATTTATTATTCATGCCTGTACTCACATTTACTTTTCACTTTAAAAACTATTTATTATTCATTTCTGTACTCACATTTATATTACACTTTAAAAACTATTTATTATGCATGCCTGCACTTACGATCCTATTACCCTTTAAAAACTATTAATATTCCTGTACCTTCCTACATTATTAAGTTAATTATATGATTTATATCGAATTTGTATAGTGATCCGTAAATAAAGTTTATACTAAAATATTAACATTTTTGGTTTGGGGCTATTATACAAACAACTGCTAAAACATGCAAACAAACGACGTGTTAGCTACTACTGATCACCGTTACATATGGTATCCAATTTTATCATCCTCTAGGCTTCCATTAATCACTTTTGAGTTTTTATCCTTCTAGCTTTTCGCGAAATTTTGGAGCAGAAGACCTCTGCGCATCCATTTGAAACCGTCCAAGCTCCATTGCCACCAAATACCTGGCTTGGCTTATATCCTGTCCCAGGTAAACAGTTCTGCCGTACATTAAGTTATCATGTCAACAATAGTCAGATAGATGCTGAGCTTTGTTTATCCTGTTTCTTGAGTATAATTTCCTGTTTTGGCTGATCAAATACGTTATTATCTAGACATCTTCAATTGGTCTGGTGCTTTATAATCCACCCTATCAAAAGAATGTATTTTTTATTATGCTATGGTGTTCTTTGCTTGCTCTTAATGTCTATCTGATCCTCAAGTGTACGCTCATGCTAATCATGCTAACCAATTTTATCACTTCTTTTGATCTTCTATGATCTTCTATTAATACTTTTGTAAATTGTAATGCTTGTAATTATTATTATTATTAGTAGTAGTAGTAGTACTGTTAGTATTATATAACTTAATCTTTTGTAATTGTCTACAAAATAGTTTCTTATTGATTAGTTGCACTTGCTGCTGCCTTTTTGTACAATCATTATTTATATAATATATATTTTTTTCATTTTCTCTGTCATTATTGTACTTCTATGTTCTGATTGTTAAGTATCTGAGTGCTGCTTCTTTCAGAGCACAAGCGCGATGCAGCCAGAGCCGAAAATTCTGTGACACTTTCCTTCGGAAGTGAATTGATTGGCATGCAGAGAGATTGGAATGAAGAGTTGCAGGCTTGCCGGGAGTTCCCACATGACTCATACCAGGAAAGGTGTGCCTTTTGCATTTGTTTGTTTTCTTGTTGTCTACCTGACTCCCATTCATCAGCTTAATAAGATATTTTCACATTATGAATTTCAATCCTTTTGTGAAGGATATTGAGGGATAGAGCTCTTTACAAAGTTACTTCGGATTTTGTGGATGCTGCAATTAGCGGAGCCATTGGAGTGATTAGCAGATGCATTCCACCTATTAACCCAACTGATCCAGAGTGCTTTCATATGTAAGAAAACAAACTATCAGAGTGTTTAAAACATGCAATTAGCTATTATATTGATTGATTGTTATTTTATACATAAATTTAATGAGGAATTATTCAATGCTATCACTTTGAATATCACATTTGAAATTGATAAGTTCATTTATTCTCAATTATGGTTTGTGCCTTGCTGGAACTCTTGATGAGAAATTGCAAAAGCTGTAATTGATTAAATGTTCAATTCAACTTTCCAAGCTACTAGTAGCACAGCTTTTTGCTTCTTGTATTTGCTCCCTTAGTCTTTGGGTTAGAATGTTCAGTTTGAGAGTTGTTCATTCACCTTTCCATCTATATATGAGCTAGAATTTCCATTTCCTCTAGTAAAATATCTCTGTGAGGCTCAATTTTGTAATTTTAAGTACTTCTATATCAACTCTCACATTTCAAGCTTCCCTGCCCCTTCCCCATAGCGTAACTGCAAATGGAATTCATCATTGTTTTTGTTCTTGGTTCCCCAGGTATGTCCATAACAACATATTCTTCAGTTTTGCTGTTGACTCTGATCTTGAGCAATTGTACCATAAGGTACCAGATAATCCCTCGAACATTGAAAATCCAGCCTCATCACAAGAGTCTTTTGAGACTAAAGAGAACAATCTGCCACAAGGAAATTCTGCAGTTTCAGATTTGACTGGTTCTCGCATTTTAGATACAGAAAACATCAATGCCACAGAGTCATTGAATCCTGGGGTGAATGCAGAGACACAGTTATCTGAAAGCGAGCAAGCTTCATATGCAAGTGCTAACAATGACTTAAAAGGCACTAAGGCATACCAGGAAGCTGATGTTCCTGGATTATACAATCTTGTGATGGCCATAATTGATTATAGAGGTCATAGAGTGGTGGCACAGGTGCACATCTACTTGAACTAATCCTTAACTGAACCTGCCATTTCTTTTTGAAATTAGCAACTATAGAGTGTTTCAGTGTGTCTTCATTTTATTTGAACACATCTTCTTAGAGGTCTTTCATCACATTGATAATCATCTCTAACATATATGTTTGCATCTTCTCTGTTAATCACATAATGCATATAAAAATCTAAAAAAAAAGACCATATTAACACCCCTCTTTTGTCTTGAAAAAATAGCCAGCTGATCAATTTGTTTTGTTTTTTTGCTCATAGCTTTATGCATAGGTGGTAGATAATTCACGATAAATATATGCTGCTGACACATTGATGCAGTTGTGGCTCACCCATAGTTTCCTTTCATGTGATAGAGTGTGTTGCCCGGGATCCTTCAAGGTGACAAGTCAGATTCCCTTCTGTATGGTTCTGTTGACAATGGCAAGAAAATATGCTGGAGTGATGACTTCCATTCCAAGGTACTCATGAACTGCACAAATGTCGATTAGTTTGAATATATATATTTTTGTATGACTTTTTAAGTGTTCCTTTGGCTTCTCTCCCTAAGGCAATCCTTCCAATAACGTTCCAACAACCAAAAAACTTAAACTTGGAGGAAAACAGCCAAACTTATAAATGATATGCATTATGCTCAAAACATGTCAATAGCCTTCATTATGAAACTGACCTTTTTGACTTCAAGATTATTGTCAAGTATAGATGACCAAAAGTAATGGTAATAGGTTATGCATGGAAATGTAAACTTGAGCCATTTGAATAACCAAGTATCTTACCTTCCATTCACATAGAAATAATTAAGGTCCTTTTGAACAGGCACAACAAAAAATTCTTGTTCAAATGATTGAAGAAAGGCGGAAAAAAAAAAATAAAATGAAAATCACAAATATACGAATATAGTTGTCAACATGATCATAGCTCTACTATGATTCATTCATTTGGTTATCCAAGGAAGCCATGGATTTGTTTCTCATGGTTATACATCAAGAAAGTTAAATCCTTGTTATCTAGGATTTCACTTTGTTTTTGGAAGCATGCTTTTCATCGTCTTTCTTCTCAGTCTTATGTAGGTAGTCTATGTGGATTATATATAACCATTGTGTTATTAATAGACATTCCATCTAGATTAATGGAGCATGCTTTTTATGTAACATTTAAGTCACAGCTCGTGCTCTTTTTTAAGAACCTATTCTCTACCTTTCAAATACCTCCAATGTAACTTTAAGTCTTGATTCATTCTTTAGGTTCTGGAAGCTGCCAAACGTCTTCATATTAAAGAGCACAGCGTGCTTGATGGATCTGGTAATGTTTTTAAGCTAGCTGCACCAGTGGAGTGCAAGGGCATTGTTGGAAGTGATGACAGGTGAATTATGAGTTTCAGATTGTTTGCTGAATTATGTAACCCTATCAATGAAGGAGTAATATGTAATTTCATTGTGCCAATAAAAAATGTAGTTATGATAATCAATCTTTTCCTTTTGAAAGGCATTTTTATATACCTTTTGACTGCTGCTGATGCACTTTGTATGCTTCTGGTCTCATTCTTCAGTGTAGCTTCTTAGTTTCTTTATTTGTCCCATGCACAGACATTATCTTTTGGACTTGATGAGAGTCACCCCCCGTGATGCAAACTACACTGGACCAGGATCAAGATTTTGTATTTTGAGGCCGGAGCTAATAACTGCTTTCATCCATGTAAGATTCTTAAGCTTGTTCGTGCCACTTTGTGGATGTCCCCCCTTCCATATGTGACTTTTCTTGTTGTGAAGGCTGAAGCTGCTGAGAAGTCGAACTCAGGGTGTGGATCTGGAGAGAATCCTGCACCCAGTGCTTCATTGGGAGTCAGTAATACTGACAAACCAGTGAAAGAGGAGGAACATTCCGCATCAGTAAGTGACTCAAAGGTATAGATCATTGGGAGAATGTCTTCTTGATGCTTTGCATGAAACATAGGCTAAGCTTATTTGAACCTTAAAGTGTTATTTAGGTGGGTTATTTCTGAGGGTAATTTTTTCAAGGATGATGTTTTGTGGTTTTAAATTTTGTAACCCTTCTTGTTGTGTGTCTGAGTGGTTCTATTTGACTAGTGGGAACAAATTTTACTTTTGATATTAACTTAATGTTTAGTGTGCTTTGAATTTGCATGCTATGTATTGTAGAACCAATCCATATCAATCATAGTTGCCAAAGATGCTATGCATAAAGGCACACAAATTAGTGCAATGGTGCTGCCTTTTCATCATTTTCCATTGTAAAGTTTATCCCACGTTGCAGACACATCCCTGCAGCTTTTGTAGGCATATTATCTATGATTTTGTTTCATTCACTTTGATTTCTTTTTCAGGATACTACGGATGCCATAAACCACAAGCCTCCTGAAAGTGGCTCTCACAGTAACAGTGAAGATGCAAGCACACCTATACTCTTCAATCCTAATGTTTTTACTGAATGTAAACTTTCTGGAAGTCCTGAGGTAGTTCATGCAGCCTTTCAAAACTTTCCAATCAGGTTTTCCCAGGAAGATGTCCTCTAAAAGGTACTTCATTACAGGAAATAGCTGCAGATGAGGAAAATGTGCGGAAAGCAAGTCTGTATCTTAAAGATGTTGTACTACCTAAATTCATCCATGACCTTAGCACCCTTGAAGTCTCACCAATGGATGGACAAACTTTAACTGAAGCACTTCATGCACATGGTATCAATGTTCGCTACATTGCAAAAGTAAGAGCATGATTCTCTCGTTAGGCCCTCTTATAACATATGTATCTTATACATGAAACTCAGATGAAGATTTCAAGGTTGGTTTTACTTTAGTTGATATCTTCTATTTACTCTTTTATATTGGTGATACAGATAGCAGAAGGGACCAGACATATGCCTCATCTATGGGATCTGTGTTCCAATGAGATTGTTGTCAGATCTGCGAAGCATATTGTCAAGGTGACTAATGATTTATAAGGCACTTCATGTTCTGAAATGAGATTTGATTCTTACTATGGCTGTTTTGTTCATGTCTGACCATATTTGTTGGTTTCCCCTGAAATCTTTTTCATATGTGGGAAATCATCTCATGATGGACAACTGTTTGATGCGGAAGTTCTGTTTTTGTTTTGATTTAGAAAGGGCATGATGTTTGAACCCAATCACACTGTTGATACCCAAATCACATGTTGATGTTTTGTTCAGTTGTCACCATCTAGTGAATATAGCTGGGATAGGAATTAAACTTAAAGTTGTAATATTACTTAAGTTACTATTGTTTGTGTTTCACCTCTCTTCAATCTATCCTAAATGTCAATGCTTTTCAACATGCAGGAAATCCTGAGAGATACAGAGGATCATGATCTTGGCCATGCGATTGCTCATTTGTTTAACTGTTTCCTAGGAAAAGTTGAAACTGTTTCTGCTAGAGGTGGTGCAAAGAGCACACCCTCCAAAACCCACAGAAAGGTTTATGGATAGTAATGTTGGTCAGATTTTATCATTTTTCTGTAGCAGCCTATTGGTACACTGAGCCAATGAAGTGTGGATTTAGATTATAAGGTTTTCATTTGAGTTGTTCTAATCAGGCATAAGTTCTCAAGTTGAAGGGCCTTAGTATTTTTGGCAATCGATATAATTTATGTTTGATCCTAATTCCTAATACATAAAGTCTATTTTTCAGGTTAATGCAGAACATGCTGCTTCTCGAAAATCTTCCAAAGGACAAAGTAAAGTAAGAAGTGGGGCACTTTTGAGAAAGAAACAGTCCTTGTCTACAAGTATGACCTCCGAAAGTTTATGGACCGACATTAGTGAATTTGCGAAACTGAAGTACCAGGTCTCTTGTGTTTCTGTTAACTTTATTCTACACGGCCTAGTGGAATTTCAAACTTATTCCATTGCACTATTTCTTCTGTAGTTTGATTTGCCTGAAGATGCAAGGGATCGGGTGAAAAAAATCTCCGTCATAAGAAATCTTTGCCAAAAGGTAATTTTGTTGCAGTGGATTCCTAAGATATATTAGCTTCTATTTAAGTATTTGAATTAATGATGGGTTGTAGATAAGCTGCAAACATATAAGCAAAATTGAAGTAATTTCTTGTTTTGGGATAGTTGATATAAAGACAGTAAATTTTGCAAACATGCCTGAGCTTTACTATGAAAAGAATATTCCTTCTTTTCCTACTGGAGGGTGGGTATGTTTAATGCCCCATGATAAATTGTGTTAGGCAACAAGATCTGCATTTTTTGTGTTAATTAAGAACCTATAGACTAGCTAGATGCTCATGCATGGAAAGCACTTCCTTTAGTAGTTTGGAATCAAATGTGAGAAACCTTACATATATTGATAGTACAACATGACACAACAAAGCTTGTTGAATTAATAAGTATTTATTTCATTAAAGATTAGTTGCGGAAGAAGTTGTGTGTTTCCTGTTCCAAATAACGTCATTTATCTGAAGTTCAATTTAGTAGCTAAACACTTTTAACATTCATTATTTCTGGAAGATGATGGAAATTGAAGGGATCTATTCTTTACTTAGTGGTAGACTTGAATATGGGTTTCTAATGGGTTAAATTATATTCCTAGGGTTGTCAGGTTCAATCTGTTTGTAATAATTCATATGCTGTTCATGTTTAGTATGTTTTATACTTTTAATGGAATGTGTTTAAGTTCAGTATGTTTTCTACTGTTATTGGAATCCCAAGTTCTGAAAACCTCCTTAGTTATGTTATGATGGAAATTTCCCTTCATAACAACTACTGTGAAGAGGTTTCTTGGCACATTTGCGGTGGAGTTCACTGTGGCTCTAGATTATTTGCTTGACTTGTGTTACCCTCTCAACAGGTTGGAATTACCATTGCTGCTCGTACATATAATTTCGATGCTGTAGCCCCTTTCCAGGTTGCCGATATATTGAATATCCAACCAGTTGTGAAGCATTCTATTCCACTCTGCTCGGAAGCCAAGAATATGGTAGAAACTGGAAAAGTTCAATTAGCTGAGGTATGTATTGCTTTGAGTCATGGTGAAAATCTGCATCTCCCATTATGTTTTGATTTTTGTTATAAGCATATGCAGACAGGCAGATATTGCTAGTTCTTTTTATTGCAGAGGATTGTGATATTTAGTTGCTTGCCGGATGGTATTGACATAAAGAGCCTCAAATTCTTAGCTATGTATCTGATAAACCATTAAGGGGGACTAATTCTTAAAAACATAAAAAACAACAGCCATGTTATCCCATCCCTGCCCTTTGGGAGGTGAAAGGCATTAGGACTTTTGTTCATTTTACTTTGGTTGAAAGTGTAAGATCTTTTTATTGCTTTTCTCAGGGGATGCTTAGCGAGGCATTCACACTATTTTCTGAAGCGTTCAATATTCTTCAGCAGGTGCATTTTTGTTTGTAGTTCATAATTATTTTATGAGCTTATTATTGTTGTTATTTGACTGATAACCACACCCATATCTACATGTAGGTTACAGGTCCAATGCATCGAGAGGTTGCAAATTGTTGCCGGTATTTATTAAACTTCCATGACCTTGCTTTTCCCGAATTTGTGGCACATGGAATAGTGCAGCTACCTTCCATGCATTCTGAATTATTCCTTAAAATGGGTTTCGCTACTAATCATTGACTTTTGGTGACAGTTACTTAGCCATGGTCTTATACCATGCTGGAGATATGCCTGCAGCAATATTGCAACAGCACAAGGAACTAATTATCAATGAACGCTGCCTTGGACTGGACCACCCTGACACAGCTCACAGGCATAGACCCTTTTCTCTTACATAATATGCATTTCAATGCATCTCCTGTACAAAGTACATCTAGGGTGTGTTTGTTTGGGGGTTTGAATTTTGAGTTGGGATTTGAATAGTAAAAATTTTGAATTTGAATAGTTGTATGATGTGATATAAATAGGTGATGATGTGATGTTTTGAATGTAAAATTGATTTTTAGTATAATATAAAAAATGAAAAATAGGTGTTTGATTTGATATTTTTGGGGGGAAAATTTTGGATGAATAGTGGAATTTAATCCAAATCCATCAAACGAACACACCCCTAGTTTACATGCCTAACCCACTCTTTAAAGTGAATCTACATTGCCATATGGCTTTGTCAACTATAGGGGATTTTATAATAAGGTTTAATTTTAACATAGTGGCGAATCGGGAATCAATATGTGTCTTGAAGCATGCATATTTCCAATCAATATTAAGGTCTTAGGTGCCCTTTTGATTCTGTTATTAACACAGAATGTGTTACTTTCAGTTATGGGAACATGGCTCTGTTCTACCATGGCCTCAACCAGACAGAGCTTGCTTTGCATCATATGTCACGAGCTTTGCTTTTGTTAAGTTTGTCTTCTGGCCCAGATCACCCTGATGTTGCTGCTACTTTTATAAACGTTGCAATGATGTATCAAGATGTGGGAAAGATGGACACGGCCCTAAGATATTTGCAAGAAGCCTTAAAAAAGAACGAGAGGCTGCTAGGAGAAGAACATATACAAACTGCTGTGTGCTATCATGCTTTGGCAATTGCATTTAACTCTATTGGAGCCTTCAAGCTTTCCTACCAGGTTTGCCCAGAAGTTTGATTTTTAACTCTATAAACTTATATATTGGTGATATACTTACCCATTATCGAATGAATGTGGTAGCATGAAAAGAAAACATATGATATTCTTGTAAAACAACTTGGAGAGGACGACTCTAGGACAAAGGACTCATTGAACTGGATGAAAACATTCAAGAAGAGTGAACTGCAGGTAATTTACAAATTACGATCCATGTTGCTTCATGAAAGCATTTCTTCTATCATGTCAGTCGATTTATTTCATATAAGTTACTCATAACAATATCTTGATCTGCCATGTGACAACTTCTTTAGAAGGAAAATAACTAATGTTATCTGTACTCCCAGATGACTGCACAGAAACAAAAAGGTCAGGCTGTAAATGCTGCTTCTGCTCAGAAGGCCATTGACTTATTAAAGGTATTTACTATGTTGATTCTTTTCTTTCAAGCTAATTCTGGCATAGCTGTCTATGGACGTGAAATTTTAAGTTGATGATATAATGTGGAAGAGGCTAGTCTCCTATACCTATAGGACATTTGACTTCATTAAGTTAATCATGCTGTGGCATCCTGAGCACCTTTGATCCTAGTGCAAAGGTTCCTACTACACACTTTCGTCTTTTCCAGCGTTTACTATCGTCTTCAATCGTATGTCCATTCTGTAGGGCTATTGATTTGCTGTTTGTGATTTTCAATAAAAAGGAAATTTTATAACTTGATTTAGTTTTTATGTTCACCACTCTGAAAATTTATAGTTGCCGATAGTATAAAAATATTATAATACAAAGCTTTCATACAATGCACTACACCATAGCACCTGAATTTTATACAGGTTAGTATAAACTTTAATCCTAGGCTTTAGGTCCTCAATTACTATGCAAACTTTTCACAAACCATTGCTAATGTTTTCAAGACTAGTGTTTTATGAGCAAACTTTGATTCGCTTATGTACATGTCTGGGTGGCCAGGCTCACCCGGACCTGATGCAGGCATTTCAAGCAGCAGCCGTTGCAGGGGGCTCTGCCACTTCTGGCACCTCCGCAAGCAAATCATTTAACAGTGGCATTGTTGGAGAAACACTCCCTCGTGGGAGGGGTGTCGATGAAAGAGCAGCCAGAGCTGCTGCAGAAGTGAGAAAAAAGGCAGCAGCGAGGGGCCTTGCCTTGCGCCCACACAGCGTGCCCGTGCAGGCTGTGCCACAAATTACTCAGCTACTCAACATGATAAATTCAGGGGCGACTGCAGATGTTGATGGGGGGAAGAAAGAACCGAATGGGCAAACTTCAAATCCAGGACAAGATCCGAAAGTCGATCAGTCTAAACCTGGTCAACAACAAGAGAAGGGTCCAGTGGGATTGGGTTCAGGATTGGCTTCTTTGGAGTCCAAGAAGCTGAAAACAAAATCAAAATCTTCAAATTGAAATTTCCAAACCTTGAATCAGGTAATGAATTGCTTTTCTTTGTTTTGTCTGATTTGTTTGAGTTATAGTAAGTATGCTCAAGAGAATCTTTTCTGAGAATTTCTCTAGTATTGCTAGAATTCTACACAACTTTTTTTTTTTTATAAGATGTTCCTTGTGACATTATTATTACTCCTTGAGCCGTTTTAATCCAAGTTAGTAAACATAGTATTAGTTCATGATCTGATGGTACTATTTGTCCCTTAATCATATCTTGTGTGTTTATTTTCTCATACTTGTCTAATAATTTGCCAGATTTCAAGAACAATCAACTCAAGCGATGGAGACGAGGCTTGGTATCTCGAGTAATGTCGAGATCAATAGACAGCTCAGAATAGCATTTTGGATTTGGATTTAGCTATGGTGGTTAGCATTTTGAAGGCTGTTTATTTTGTTTTTGTTGACCTATTATTGTTTTGGGACCTTCTTAATAATAGTAATAATGATAATATTATAATTACTTTGGTGGGGAAGGACGAAGCCAAGAACCCGTGGCTTAACCATCTCGATCAAATAATTGATACTACTCTACTCTACTACTATTATGATACGGTATTATTTTGGACCATGAATTTCTTTGGTTGGTTATCTATCTGTATGGGATGTGATTCCCACGATTCTCAATTTAAATTGAAACCCTGTTTTGATGGAATATTTAAAATATAATAACATATTGATAGTATTATTATAATAATAATAATATATAAGGTGTAAGAAGTTTTTAATATCTATAAATACTATAATTATTATAAAAATTGATTTTGGATGGATGAAAATAACAGAATAAAATGGATAAATTGATTCTTAGATCAATCAAAAATAGCAATTGCAAGTGTTTGTATTTTTGAGTTATTTGAAATTACTAAAATTTTAAATAATTTTTTATACAATATGAACCGACATACAATCACAAGTATGCAATTTTCTTTTTCCTAGTGAATTAAATATATTATTACATGACAAAACATAGGGGAATAATCGTTGAACCAAAATTTTCCATCAAAGCATAAATATCATCTTCAGCTTTAAGTTTGTCTACCACTGAAAAATATATCTTCTTTTTAACTAAATATACTACATAACAAAAACCAAGCAAGAATTTTGCTCAACCAAAAATTTCACCTGCATCAAATTAAGCATTTGCTGCTGCATCCATTCTTTCGTCTTCTACGCGATCTTCTTTCGAGAACTCTTCGATCAGCTGGCGCTGCCGTGGTGTCAGAGTTCTGCCACATTTTTTCAACAAAGAAACCCAAATCAGCTGATTCATACAGAATTCACAAATATAAGATGATTAAAATGTATCAGTATATTTCGAGTTTTTATATATATGTGTTGAGGACTGCAGTTTGACAACAGGAGGAATTATCTAAATTATCGATAAAGATGAAGAACGAAAACAAAGACAGGAATCTGAGGGCTTACGTTGGAATCCTGACGTTGAAGTGTACATACTGATCGCCGAATGAAAAGGTGTTCCTGACTTTGAGTCCTGCGCAAGGCAGTAATCAGTGTTAATAATACATCTGCAACTTTAGTCGATCATCAGAACAAACATGTTTTTCAGCGATTTAATTATTGGGAACAATTTCAAGTATATGGTAATGCCGGTGAAAATTAATGAGTTAATACATATGGAGAGACTTTCACCTTTCTTCTTCAAGACAACCTTTTGGCCTGGTTGAGTGCCTGGCCGGACCTACAAAATATAAGACATCGAAAAAAGTAAGGAACTACATAAAAAGCTACATATCAAAAGCGTGCAAGAAGGAATGCTGTTAAGTTAAACGAGAGGTGCTAATTGCAATAACTTGTTGTATTTTCCTTTTCACAGACCTTAACAACGACATCCCCTGACAGCGTCGGCACCTGTATTGTACCTCCAAGAGTTGCCTGAAAAAGGATACATAAAGTGAACAAACTACCAAGATTCATTTCATGAAACGGAGTCACTAAAAGGCAAAAAGGTTCCGTTACTCTTTCAACGTCAAACATAATTTCTGGATGAACTTAAAATTAGGAACCAGTCAAGTTTTCCACTGAGATTCCCAAATCATAAGGCTTCCTATGAAATATCACATAATAGTCCGACAATATACCTGAGCTATGGTTATTACTGCGTCGACATGAATGTCAGCTCTTTCTCTACGAAATACTGGGTCTTCTCTGACCTGAAAAATGTACATTCAGCACACCTAGTTAGCACAAAATTTTGACAGCTCAAGACTAATTTCTAATGAGTTAAAGGTACAAGAGTTTGTGATAGAGGTAATCATGCAACCTTGACTGTAACATAGAGATCACCAGGCCTGTTTCCATCAGGATCTGCTCCACCACTTCTGGGAATCTTAATAGTTTCATCGTTATCAACCCCTGCACATAATCTATAATCAGGGCATTGCTCTCCTTGCAGACATTACACAGTAACTAGTTACAGATATTTATTTCTTTGTTTTTTTTTTCGCTTTTCTTGTCACTGCAAAATCGATTGTGGATTAAAGTTTCACAAAGATTGCTAGGTTCCTACAACAAATAAACAGTAAGAAAAATCATTACTGTTTTTGACTGAAAAATCAAGTTATAATCTAATTCAAAATCCCCCTCTAGCATTGCAATTGTCTGTATGAGAGGTATCTAGATTTCAAGATGCTAAAATTTTATAAGTATTTTCAAAGCCCGGAAGAAAAATACAAATGGCGAAGAGATGTATTGTTTCAAAGGAATTACCTGCCACCACATTCAACTTCACCATTTTTGTCCCTTTCATTACCCGCTTACCCCTGCAAGACTTGCACCAGCTCTGCTTCCAATACAATCATAAAAATGTATTACAGTTCATATCGACAGGCTATAAAGACATTTCAAAACATCCAATTCTATTTTATATCAGACCAAGTTTAACCTTCCAAACATTTTTATTATCTGTAAATTTTCTTATAGAGCAAATTGATCCAACTACTTATGTTAACAACTACTTATAGCGACTTAAAACCACACTTCAAAAGAACGTAACACAATAAATTAAATCAAATAAACTGCTTAGTGACTTCTTTCTGTTCATCATCTGAAATAAAGATATCCTATGGAGACAAAATTTTCCAAGGCAAAGTGGCAAATAAATAAACTAATAGCTAAGCAACAGGAGCCATATTATTTCAAAGTATTTCATACCGAGACTATTTTTCCAGTTCCGCCACAATTTGGACAAGTAGACTGGAGTGTGAAGGGACCATTTTGTGATGTCATCTGAAATATGAATAATATGTTAGCATGACGCATTGTACAACATGGTAGCAGTGAAATGATAGGAATGTAAAAAGGCACTCACAACACCAGAACCTCTACATCTCTTACAAGTTTCAGGCCTAGTCCCAGGAGGAAAACCAGTTCCACCTAATATAAAACAAGGATCATATAACATGATCAAACACTACGGAAGATCGAGAATAAAGCAACTTGGCACTTCAGCCATGTGAAGGTCTATCAGCTATCTTGGAAAATTATTAACTCTTGTAAGAAATTCAGTAAATAATGTTAGCTATATTCAGGAAATCACAATACCACAAGTATCGCAAGCCAAATCAGTCAAAACTGAAATTGTTTTGGTGCATCCCTGGATAGCTTCCATAAAGGAAAGTTCAACAGAAACCTGCAATCAGTAGCTGGAATTTGTAGTTATTGAGCACAAACTGCAAACTCCAAAATGTTTTATAATATTCTAGTCATAACCTTGACATCTTCACCGCCTGTGTCCCTGTTGAAGATGTCGAAAATCTGATCTCCACATCAGCCAAACAAAAAAAAAAAAGCACATGAAAAAAGAAATATATTAACTCAGGGAAAAATGAAAACATTGCAGCAAACATGATGATTAAAATACAACAAAAGCATATGCTACATAGCCTTAACTATTCACTGTAATAAATCTTAGATTACAATACTTTAATAGTTGGACCATTCTACAATTGATAGATGTGCTATATGTGGATGTTTAAGGAATCACATGCCTCTAATTCTGTGAATTAGAATTAAATTAACACTTAAAAGAAACTCATGCTCAGATTTTCAATTAAGAAAAGTAAATATTTTGCCGGAAACGACAACATCCTATATCTTCTTCTCCAGAACATCTGGTAATCACTACACCATCAGAATGAAGTCAAACAAGATTGCTGCATGGTAGAAACAACTTTTTTTACAATAAAAAAGGCTCAAAGCATTACGATGTTATCTGCCAACTCTGTAGCACAAGCTGATTCACTCATTTAACTGTTGCCTTTAGTTGTCACATTGAACCAAGAAAATGAAGCCCGTCTCATTTACTATCACAGCTAGCAAATAACATGAGGTTTAGATGTCATAGACTTACATCATTCTTAAAGATGTCTTGGAAAGGATTAAAACCACCTCCAAAAGGATCAAACCCAGGACCTTCACCATTACCAACACGTTCAAAAGCTTCATGGCCAAGCTGATAAAATGCAAAATCACCACATAGGTCAGACCCCGAAAAATAGAATAGTGATGTCATCATAAAACCATAAATAAAACCTGGTGTTTTGATACTGTATAAATAATTAAACAAAAAATTTCACCCTTAAGCACTTTGTCAGAGGAATACATTCTGAAGTTGTCCTTTTAGGTGTTTAAAATACATAATATTTTTCTAGTGTTAAAATGCTATAAATAGCACGAAATGAAGTGTATGCAATTGATATTGTATATGTAATTATAATATTACATAAATCTTAGTAATACAATAATATATTATGATTAACTATTAGGGAATATATGTATATATACTACATACATATTCAAAACATGAGCATACATTTACATATACTCCCTCCGTCCCGTAAAATAGCCCATTTGGATTTGGCATAGAAATTATGAAAAACAAATTTATTACTAAAAAATTGAGAAAAATATCCAAGTGATGATGAAATCACCATTGCAACTTATTCGCACAACATCAATATTCATTATTCATGTATATTAGTATATAAGTACACTATTATTAAATCTTTGAGAACATTCCCTCTCTGGCTTCACATATATCTTTATTAAAAATAGTTTACACTAAGATAGCAACTTTATAGAGGTAAGACGTATAATAAGTAGCATAATGTATTCTATACCTGATCATATTGCTGGCGCTTTTCATCATCTTTCAGTACCTACAAATTGGGACATATTTAATACATACATACATAGGATATTTACCTTGAAAACACACTGAAAATCCAAAAGATACCTCATAAGCCTTCTGAACTTCTTGAAATTTTTTTTCAGCTTCAGGGTCATCTTTATTGGTATCTGGATGCAACTTTTTTGCAAGCTAAAGAAAAAAATAAAAATAGAAGAGAGAGTGTTAAGATTCTTCATACTTCAGACTTTGATTTCTACCTATGCATATTCATAGAAAAGTGACAACACAGTAACGTACCCCATAATAAGCTTTCTTGATTTCAGAAGCAGTTGCACTGTTACTGACACCAAGCACATCATAATAATCTCTAAATAATTGAGCTAGCAACATAAGAAGCAAGAATTAAAGGCATGAATAAGTGTTAGGATTTTATTGAACAATATAGATGCATAGAACAGCATAAATAAAACGAGAGCAATAGTCCAATCACCACTGTGTAGATAAATATACCAGTGCTATGGATTGCTCGAGCAGCCCCCAGAACTTCACGGAATAATCCTAGATTCAACCAACAACTCTCTTTACCTACTGCGTTTCATTATAACAAATGCATTAGACCAAAGAACTCACCGGAGTGAATTAACAATTGAAAATTGAACAACAAGTACCATCTCGGAATTTGGAGTTAGAAAAAACCCTAGATTGATTGCACATCGCGATACTGAAGCTCCTGTAACCTTCCTTAGTCAACGAATCACACAGCTGCAATTAAACAGGACAATCAACATCAAACAGGAACCCAATACTACCACCACAACACACACACACATACAATACAAACAAAACATGCATCGAGAGTGAGACTGTACATGTGAGGGCGAATTGTGCAGCAGCAGAGACGAAACGGAGCGGCGTGCGAGGCGCAAGCCGTGCGAGCGCGCCATTGGTTCGATCTGCAGCTGCACAACGTGGACAATCGCTCGCTAGGTAGCGATCAAAACCCTAATTACGAAATCCTCCCAATTATTATTTAGGACCTCAGAAGACCACAAGGCAGCTGCAGATGCAAGGGTTTATGGAAGGTTCTAGCTCTAGTGGGAAGGAGGCTGACGCTGCTGCTTGGAAATGGAGCAGCCCGACCCGAATTATAAACTAAACACATCCGATATCCGACTCCGACCCGGAAATGATCTGACCCGCTCCATGTATAATATGGTCGGGTATTTGAACCGACCCACTCCATGACCAAATTAAGTCAAGTATTTGAACCGATCCGGGAAAGGATCCGACCCAATCTATTTTCCTAATTTTCTGAATTAGCGCCAATTTGGCTTTCCCGCCCCTCCATGAACCCACTCCGCCCTACCTCCGCCCTTTATCTACGCCACTACGAGAATCCGCAGGCTAAATCTGGATTCACCGTGTATAGGAAGATTTACATTGCAGGAGCTGGTAAATTGAGGACTAGAAGAAGAGGAAGGCGGAGATGTTCTACTCGCACACTTTCCTGGCAAGGAAAGGTCCGCTGGGTACGGTTTGGTGCGCCGCGCATTTGCAGCACAAGCTTAAGAAGTCTCACTACATCTCCACGAATGTTCCCAAAACCGTCGGTATGTTTTACAATTTTGCGCGGTTCGCGTTGTTTGTTTAATCAATTGTTCATCGTCGACGAAGGGGCAAAATTTAAATCTGAAAGCTTTTTTCCCCCATAAGTGATATCGTGCTGCGAAAGCTTTGTTCTTTCTGTGTGGATTGATATTCACCCTTGATAATGTTGCCATTTGTGTATGTGCTTGCTCGAATAAGAGCTTAAACTGCTAGTTTAGGGTTTGTGCTTCCATTTTTGTAATGATTCTTTCCTACCAAATGCTGTTCGTGCCACCACGGTTCCTCCTAATTTGGATGTGTAAAGCTCGTCGATTCGATGTTTTTTTGGCGCATGTTTCTGCTGCTGCTTAGAATTTGAATTACAGTGTTTTGGATTCTTTTTTTTTTGGAGGTTGTTCATTGAGCTGTATGATGCCTTGCAGATCGAATCATGTATCCTGAGGTGCCGCTTGCACTAAGGATGTCAGGACATCTTCTTGTTGGAGTTGTGAGGATTTATTCAAAACAAGTTGACTATCTCTTTGAAGATTGTAATGTTATACGGACTACGATCAATCGGATTCTTCGAAAAATAAATGTCAATCTCCCTGAAGATGCAACTCAAGCAACATTCCATTCTGTTACCTTGCCGGAAAATTTCAACCTTGATTCCATAGAATTGGATAGCTTTGATACAGACTGGTATGTTGTGCTTTTTCTTCCCTTGGATCTCTCTTTTTTGGCAAAACCTGTTTTAACTTTTGTTTTTTGCCTCCTAAATAACATGAATCAATTCAAATGTGGTAATTTTCAGGCAACAAGATTATCATCTTAAAAGCCTAGATGAAATTACTTTAACAGGTATTGAACTCAGCAGTTGTGATTTTGCATTTTTCTATGATGAATACCTTCCCATTCCTTAATGATATGAAGCTAATGTGGTTGTTGCATTCTATGCCACAGAGCAAATTCCAACTGGACAAGATCCTTATATTGTCATTAGTTTTCAAGAGGTGCCACCAAGTTCTTACTTATTCTCATTTCAGAAATTATGCAAATCAAATTTTGTGCCATAGTATTAGCATTTTTCTTTCTTTAATTTTCTTTCCTGGTACTCAAATGTAGCATGAATTACCTGGGCCACCAGCTGAGGAAAATCTAGGATCAGGGCCGGCTCCGATGGACGAAGAGTATGCCTTGCTTAGCTTATCCAAAGTTAGACCTTGACATCGTCGTCTAAATTTGTGAATTTACTGACTCCTTTGGCATTGGTGTTGCAGACCTCCAGTTGAAGCTGCTGCTGCTGCAGCTGCTGAATTTCAGGCCACTCCCAGCAAACAATTAGGAACAGATGATAGAAGTATTGGATCAATCAGTCCCCAAGAATTGCCAAGTATTGAGATCATGCGCGATGCTAGACAGAGTTTAGATTTCACCGCTTCACCAATGTTGTCTGATCGGGCCGAACCAGATGCAGTTCTGGAAGAGCAAATCAACAAGGATAAGGAAATCAATACTCCTCACTCAGTTGAAGTACCATTGCCGGGTGGCTCTGTCTCTTCACCACAAGCTCATGAAAAACCACCCTCTTTCGGGCGCTTGGGTTCCCCGATTGCCTTTGGTGAGTACAAGTTTGTGGGTTGCTGGATTTATATTATATAGCACTAATGCACACATTTCCCTGTTTTGCAGAACACCAGTCAAATGAGTTGCAAATCCAACCAACCCCACCTGTTGCAAAGCCACAGATTCGAAGAAAAAGGAAACAGTTTTTTGATGAGACAATCATATTAAGCAATCCGTAAGATTTTTTATTCCGTAGTTCATGCAAGCTTGCCCTCGTATTCATCAAGTTCTTAACACAAGAGCTCTATGATACAGGTTCATCCAAAAAGGGTTAAATGATACCAGTGATATCTGCCGGAAGAGAAAAAACTGCCCCACTTCTTCTCTTGCCATCTGGAACCGAAACAATCGGCTGCGTTTAAGGAAGGATGGCCTCTTTCTTCCGCCTTATCCTTCTGGTCTGTAATATTTAATGGTTCCTGTCTTCCCTGTTGCACTTTAGTTAGGAAATTTGTTTTAATCTGAATGAAGTTTCTTACGTTGTAGGATCTTGTTCTGAGTTGCAAGATATATACAAGAAAGATGCTATTTCTGTTAAATTTCCTCCAGTCCCTGCAGAAGAAGCGCATCAAGAGACAACTGCTGATCAACCCTCTGTATCCAGGCATGGTGATGACATGGAGATCGAAATTCCTAGAAATAATGAGTATGCTTCGCCTAACAGACAGATTCCTGATATCACCAATGTTTTGCCATCGCCAAGTGAAAGAGACCACTCGGCTTTTCATAATTTGGATACCGGGTTACATCCACATCGGGAAGCAACTGAAGAGGAAGAAGCACTGCCCACTGCAAGTGTGGGGGCATCTTCTGGAATGCTTGATTCAGAAATCAGAACCCCAGATTCAGTTTTTGGGAAGAGCTTGCAGGCTGAGCACACAGTACTATCTAACATTTCTGAGTTTGTGGCTTCTCCAGGGGTATGCTAATACTTGTAGTGTCCTTTGAGTTTCATGGACTTTGTTTCGATTTATCAAAAAGCTGATCCTTTAGATTTACTCGTGTTAATCTCCTACATGTATTTAAAGTGGCTTCATCTTCTATTGCAGGAGCTTCGATTTCTGGACCAAGAGGACAATTCTCCAGCTGGTATGTTCACAAACTTCTTATGATCCATCTGATTTTCAAATTTCCTATTCAGGTCAATGCAACTTTTTCAACATAAACTTCGATTATAGCACATGCATATCACAAGTTTTACCTGCATTTGAATGAATAGGATCCCAAGGAACACCTGCATCTGCTAACTTAGGAACTCAAGGAACCCCAGAACTTCACGCATTATCTTCACGAACAAGGTGTGGTATTTTTCAACAAGGAATTTAATTGCATCATTGAAGTTCATATGTTAACCTTTTCCGATTGTTTTCAGAGCTGTGGCTCAGTACTTGAAGAGGCAGGCCTCAGCAACCCCAGCCTCAAGCAGCGCAGCAGAATCATCCGAGGATCTCAGTTTGAACAAGATCTTGGAAGGCAAAACCAGAAAGATATGCGCTCGAATGTTTTACCAAGCTCTGGTAAGCTGAACCTGTACTACAATCCTCTCTTCAATTCACCAAGAAGTATATTGGTATGTCCCTCTCATTAGTGATACCTTGGAATGTCACTTGGCAGGTGTTGAAGAGTAACGACCTTGTCGACGTACACCAAGAAGTACCATATGGAGACATCACCTTGAAAGTAACTCCAAAGCTCTCCAAGGAACAATTCTCCATCTAAAACAGAAGATGTCAGTTTAGTGATATTTATATATGTAAATAGCTAAGTTAAAGCATAGCCCCATCTCAGTTTTGTAAAATTATTTTATCCTCTCTACTAGTATTCTTGCCATACAATTGATATCAAATGTTAAAATATTTTGTAGCAGAAAATGAATCAACATGTTATAAATAAGGATCTTATATCCTGCAACTTAATGGTGTCTTCTTTGAACCCCCAGCGAATGTCGGTTTTATTACAACAGTTGTTATTATCATGTGACTAAGTCACAGCAACAGCTAATTCTCAGACAATAGTTTGCTGATTTTGTTCTCAATATGGGCTTCATGATCCTCGAGACGACCCTTCACTTCACCATCTTCCCACCGGATCAATGTAGGCACTCCTTTGAGCTTGAACCTTGAGTCTGTCCTCCATGGATGCCCGGGATCTCTCCATGTGGGCCGATCTCCCACATATGCCCTCAGTAGAGCCACATTATCCGTCGATGCTTCGAGCTTTTGGTATATCACAGGCTCAGCTCTCACACAATCTGAAAAGAAGAGATCCCTCAGAAAGTCATGGACAAGGAGGATAAACCAAGAATCAACTCAACCCTCATGCATCATTCAATACCAACAGCAATGCCCTGATGCAGTCTCCTATGCTATGGCTCACTAAATAATCTACTAAAATTATTTTTAACAAACATGGCATCAATACCTTATATGCACCCCAAATCATACTGAAAATCTATTTTATATTGAATATTTCCAAATCAAGAATGAAAACAGTATTATACAAAATCCTTGAGAGGCTTTATGAACAAAAGAGTCTGTACTCTGTCTTTGCCATTCTAATTCAGTTGAATGATGAATTAGAAGATATAACGTCTCATAAATCCCCAAATTCGTCAGGAGCTTATCACATTAGAAAAACCATAATCCTACCATTTTATTTTATTTTTAAAATTCATAAATATTTAAAAGTTTCAATAATCCATGAAATCGAGCAGAAATTCCCTAACGCAGGTAACCAAACATTTCTACAATCGTCCATTTTCGCGAGTAAACATCAAAGATGAAAAGCAATACCAGGGCACCAGCTGCGATCGGTGGATGGATCTTTGTCGGCCAGGAACAGAATAAGATTTGCTTTGTGATTAGGCGCTTCAGCTGTGAATTTGTCGAAAACCGCACCAAATGTTGACAGCGTTGAGTCCAAAACTTTCAGCGGCATTTTCTGTTCTTCGCAATTCCCACGCTACACAGAATCGAATGTTATATCCCCAATACCTTTTCACATTTTTGCCCTTAGAAAAATCTCGTTTTACACGATTTTGCAAAAGGCCCAGTAAATTAAAACACATGGGCCACTTGATAAGCCCAAAATTAAGATTAGTACCAAATTAAAAAAAGCCCATTTCCAATCAAATTTTGTTCAAACAAATTTATCCTAAGTAACCGTGTGTGTATATATATCTGTACACAAATCCAACGTACAAGTACAACATCAAAGAATCAATTAAACAACAGAGCTGAAGGCCAAAATTTGAAGAATGAATCCTATACCACATATCTTCCTCTACAGTTTCTCCATCTCTACTCCTCCGATCCCGCCGGCCGCCGCTGGCGAGCTCGTCGCGCCGTATTCACAAGTATCTCAAGTCCATGCAGCTCGCCCCAGTTGGTTTCACGTATAAGAGTGTCGCGACGCCGTATCGTTGCACATACACTCGGGAACGGGGTACTTGGTCACATCTCTCCCGACTTTGCTTGTCCTAAGCTCGGGTTGTCCCATCGAGTCGCGATGCAACTCTAGTATTATCTTGCCGAACTCTGCTTCCGGGATCGACGAGTTCATAAAGTGCGTGAGCATGTGCCTTTTGTTCGGGATTATAGTCTTCTTGTGCCCCGCGTAAGCTCGGTGCCCCTGTTTCAGACAAAAACACGATATGTTAAGCCAAAATATTGTATAATTGTGTTCTTAAGTAGGTTTTATCACAGATTTTTACTATTTAAAATATCACATCAATATCTATTTTTATCACATCAAACAACTATTTGAATTAATTTTTTACTATTCAAAAATTAAAATAAAAAAATCCAAACCGACATCATCGGGCTACACAGTACCTGAATGGCGTGGCCCATATTCCCGCCATGCGACGCCATGAACACGTCGCTATTCTCCGACACTATGAAATCGATGGCTGCCATTAAAGACGCCTTCTTTTCGATCGGTTCGAGTTCGCCGGGTAATGCGAGGTCGACTTTGTTGTAGAAATGAGGGAATTCCCGGATCAACGGTTGCAAGGCTTCTTTCGATCCCAATGGAACGCCTCCCGCCCAATAAATCGGAGTGTTCGTCGGAGCTCCGAGCGCCTTAAGCAATCTGAAAACATGAAACCGTTAAATATTAGAAGTCGCGTCCCTAAAGGTTCGATCGGAAAATCAAGAAATCAGTAATCTCGAAATTCACCGCACGACTTCGAACGCATTTAAAGGGCATAGGCCGGCGAGCTTCCGATCGTGGTACGTCATGTTAGAACGCGACGTCAAGAGCTCGGGGCGGGCCATTCTTTCGTTGGTTATCATCTCGTCGTACTCGGGATTTAGACCGGGAAGACATCCGGTCCTCACCCAGACATCCTTCTCCATTCGTAAATGTAGCGCAAGGTACGGCCCCCGGCTTCGCATTCTTGCCGTGAACGTGTTTCCGAGTTCCAATATTCGCGGCGCGAATCGTAGAGCGTGAAATGCCACCTACACATAAGTTCATAATCAATTTCGATTTAGCAATCGTCGCGAATATCATTTTTTTTTTTTTTTCGATAGGTATACCTTGCAACGCAATTTTTGCAGGTCCGAAGGAAGATCCTTCGACAGCCTTGAATCGAGACCGCGTAATAAAAGCACACCATCCCTCCTAAGCTGCATCAAAATCAAATCCATAGTTAGAAACAAATCATTCTTACAGGATAGTAATGGAAGAGAGAACAGAGTCCCCTGTAATGCATAACCTAATCGAATAAAGTTCATTCCGACAGATTCAAAGATGCAATCGACAATGGATTCAGATTCAGCTTTCTTACCAGTTTAAGGTAGCGCGATCGGATCCATTGAGGAGAAACGTGGAGGGGAGTCCTCTTCTCCTCGACTGGGCGAGACATTAAATGCGTCGATGGAAGTGAGGAAACGATTCTTACATCGTTTGCTAAGACAGTTTTGAAATGATCCAAATCGAATATATCGGCAAATTCACTGCGCAATCAGTAGTTGAGAAACGAATTCAATTCGAAACCCTAGAGAGAAAGAGAGGGCAAATTGAAGTGTAATGAAAGTACCTCTCGTCGGCCCAGATGACGTTGACCTGCAAAATGGGGACAACCAAGGCAGCTCCGAGGATCCTTGCAATGACGACAGCATCGACAATCTGATTCCTCTGCTGATTCATCCCTCCGGAGACAACCACCATTAAATACTTGCGCCTGTCCTTGACGACCTCGCGCCCTTCCCTTCTGTAATTGCCGCTGAAGTCCAGACATGGACGGTATCCCATCCCGTCGGGCTGCTTCCAGAATCCGACATCGGGAACAGGCGTCGGTAAGGACGATGTGGCCTCCTTATTACCAGTGCCGCAGGGGGGCTGGGAAGAAGAAGAAGGCATCGAAGGGATCAAACTGAGCCACGTCACCACCATACAGAGAAACCCTAATCCGAAGATTAGGGATATGAAAAACCTGGGGCTACGGAGGACTCGCCGGAAAAAGTGGTGGCTGGCCTTGTGCGGCGGCGATTGGTGGTGGTGCTGAAGAAGCAGCGCGTCGAGGGAGGCCTGTGAGATGGAGGCGATGATCTGCGACGGGACGGAAATGTAGCTCTGCTGCTTCTTCTTCGACGCCATTGATCAATTCAATTCAAATCTTCGAATTAAAAACCATATAATAAATATATGGATTTTCAATTTAATTAGAGAGATGGGAAAGGAGACGCAGAGAGGTGTGGGTTTCTTGGAAAGAGAATTGGGAGAGACAGCTGAGCTGATCTGAGGAAGACGACGAGGGACGGCGCGGAAACGCGTTTGATCGAAAGAATAGTGGGGATAATTTAATTTATTTTTATATTTATCTGTAGTGGGTGGGTTGGCGACAGACAGACCGTATTTATATATATATATATATTATTGGGGTGGTATTTTGAATTCTTGTCTTTAGATGTAATAATTGTTAGGTTTGGGTGTGGGTGTGGGTGTGGGTACGGGGGTTTCTATTTTCAACTCCGGGGTTTCCATTTTGGGGGTTTTCTGTTTCCGCCCACCGGCTTTTCGTGGCTTACTCTTTAGTCCCTGGTAAAGTTTTTTTTACCTATATTAAATGTTTTTACTTGTCATTTAAACTTGTCTTATCTGTATAACTTAAAAATAAAAAATAAAAAAAAGCAAAATTGTCCATAACTCCTTTGTGGTTTCAAAATTCAGCATAAATTTTTCCTCTACTTTAAAAATTGTATGACGCTCTCTTATACTCTAAAAAATATTGCATAAAACCATTTTGTGGTTTCGAAATTCAGCATAAATCTCCATTTTACTTTAAAAAATTACATGACGCTTACTTATACTTTAAAAAATATTACATAAAACCCCCTGCCATGTAAAACATATAGATAAGAAATCATCTTCTTATCACACAAGAAAAGTTTCATAGTGATGGGGTTTCATGCAACGTTTTTTAAAGTATAAGGGGGTACCATGCAATTTTTAAGGTATAAAGAGATTTTACGGTGAATTTTGAAATCACAAAGGAATTATAAGTAATTTTACAAAAAAAAAAAAAAAAATGCTTATAAAATTAGTAGTCTGCAAATATTAAGTTTATCCTTACTTTCATTCAATGCAAGAGTATTTTAAATGTTTTAATTTTATAAAAATCTACTAACAATTTTATACTTCTTCATCCAATTTCTATTGTCCTAAAGTATTATATTTGTCCTGATATATTAGATATTAAAAGCATTAAATGAATGAATTGTAAAAATATAAACTTTGTATTTAAGAAAATAAATAAAACAATAGTTATTGTTTGTCTCAAATAAAAAAAATAAGACATTGATTTGTAACTGAATTAATATTAGTTTTTCTTAAGTTACTATAATATTATTTTAAGACAATTTAGGTAGAATGAAAATAATACTACTAGTATTATTAAACACTATTTTCGTTCTTTTCCTTAAAAAAAAAAAATAAATAAAATTGTCATTTTCAATACTTAAGCTCAATACTTATCGTCACATTTAACTATACATTTTCATATAAACTTTACATGAAATAATGTGTAAAAATATGTTATATATCTACTGGTAATATTTTAACACATTTGTTTTTTTCTTTTTTTAAAATTTTAAATTTTTATTATTTAGATTTTACATGTAATTTTTTTTATATAAAATATTTTATTATAGATTATTTTAATATTAAATTCAAATCAAAATTTGTTTACATATTTTTAATTAAAAAAAAAAAAAGTGGAAAACGGTTGTGTATTGGGCACTGAATAAAAAATAAAAGGAAAAAGAAGAACAAATGACAGATTTTGACAGCCACATAATCAGAAGAAAATGAGATGACGTCATCAGAAGTTTCCCTTACGTTTCTGACTCTACTAACTATTAGTACAAAAGTGCGCCTAACATTATCATCTCAATATATTATTAATTGTTATGATTATAGTAAGATTCGATAATAAATCAGTATTTAATTTATAGATTTATATATATTCAACAGCTAAATTAATACCAAATTTGGCTTTACTTCCAAACTGATTTCACTATTGATAATGTTTTAGGTCACTATAATCGAATAGTTGGGAAACTGTTACATCTGATTATTTATTTATTTATTTTTTTTGAAATCCCAAATATTTATTACTCCCTTCGTCCCACCCCACGTACCATATTCGCCGTTTCTGTCCGTCCCACATCCCATGTCACTTTCTTTTTTTTTAAAAATTATACCGTGTCTACAATGTTGTAGGTGGGATGGAGGTGTACATAATTTGTTAATGTTAACTTCACTTCATAAATGCTACTATTATCTTAATACTATTTACCGTCTCTATTTTTTTATTTTTGAATGTCTTACATCTCAAAAAAAATTAATTATACACTTTAATTTCATTTTAAATTAATTATTTTATCTTAACTTAAACATAATTACTTTTATTAATATATTCTTAATTATTTATTAATTATATTTATTCTAAATTTTTTTAATATATTAAAAATAATAATGCAAAGAGTTCATGTAATATTCATTTATTATCACGGTCATCACAAAAATCGTGACAACACGCCTTTTCATTTAATAACTCAATTCAATACTGTAATTAGGGTTTGGTTTTGACGTATTTTAGGGTGCATTGAATAATTAATTAATATTATTATAATTTTTTTTTTCCCTAAAAAATAGTTAGGAATACTATGCAATTTTCACAGGCCAAAACCAAAGATCCAATTAGCAATAGAAGCAAAGCAAGCAGAATCAGTGTCACAATGTTAAAACTACCAGCCGTGAAAGTGAAAAAAAATCTACAAAGTCCTCAAGTCAAGTTCTTCAACAGTTGATTACTGCGCAGGGAGAATACAACAACCAAGTAAAAAAATTTGTTATTAGTATTAGACAACTAACCAGACTATGATTCGGGTATTCTTTTCAGTAGTTTGTATAGCCCGAACACATTCTTCTGCTGCCAAAGGTATGGAATGAAAAAGGACCGGAACTTCGGCGGCGACATTTCTCGATCTAGATAAGGCAATGCTGCAACTACCTGTGTAATTTATAGATAGATCATCACATTAGGTTCAATTTCCAGAAACCCATTGCACCAAGCACACATATATCTAGAGAGAGAGAGATACCTCCCAAGTATTTAAGTCGCTACCCCGAGGGATATACGGTCTTTGAAGATGCAGTTCTATAAGGAAGGTGCATTTATCTATATCATGAAGCTGCAGGATGAATAGCAGAATGATGAGTGAGGTTGTGAGGATCAGTCTCCAAAGTCGAATACGAATAACGAGCAAAGAAATCAGCAGCATAGTGAAGAATGAGTTACATATTGTTGATTTGATGCATGATTCTTGTTGTTGAAATATGGTGGAGCTGCAGATGTTCCGCCCAGCGTTGAGTTGAAAGGAAATGGGAGAAGGCCATTGAACCCGTCGTCTATCCATCTGACCTCTTTCACGTAGTCGGGGACCAAAAATGATGATGGGAAACGGTGCCATTCGCTCCCAACACAAAGGACAGAGCCTGTGTCATGTGCCATGTACAATAATCATGTATACAATGCTACAAATAAACCATTTGGGACAAGACTACTCTCACTATGACGGGGATTGAGAATAACTCACTAAACAAGTTCAACGGGCGACAACATTGAAGTTTGTATGATTCAGATGCTACTTTTCAGAAAATATACACCAGTATAGAAAATTCCCACAATTATTGAACGAAAACATCTTTAGAAACAAAAGAAGAGATTCACAGGGTTAAAATAAAATAACTAAAAGGCAATGAAATGTTAGAGACCATCGAATTAATTCATAAAAGTTTCTCCTAGTTAGCACGTCTACTACTATTTCTATACATCAGTTAATCAGTTCAAGTGCAATTAAAGTTTTATCAAAGAGAAAATCTGATGCCCAGAAGACAGAAGTATAATGTATGAAATTTAATTTAAGTATAATGTCTGGTATCACGGAATTTGGAACAGCATAATTTAATGTAAGTATGAAATTTGCGCACCTTCCCCTGCATCATCATGGTGCTCCAAATGTTTGTAAATCTCCAAAGGAGCTGAATAACCGTGGATCAAGGAAAATGTCCGGGAATGGGATGCACACAAGATAAGACCAAGAACCAGAGGACGCAGACCTTTTGCTATCTGTATGGCCAATATAAAAAGGTAAGTCATAACCGCATTTGTTGAGCAAACAAGAGAGTGGTTTATGGAAATGGATGTTTTACCACAACAAGTACAGAACTGTCATTGGGATTGTACTTATCCCGAAATAAATCAGGAAAGATCTCAATGACAGCTGCAGCAGCAACACAAATAAGAGGATATATTGGGTAAAGGAATCTGCAAATGGCAAGAGAATGCAACAATTATGAGAACAATATACTTTTATCCACTGTATATTTTACAGCAGAAGCTAGATAATCATTAGCAAACAAAATTACTACCAGGACGTTTAGCTTAATTAGAAATTCTCAAGATATCTTAAGTTTTTACAACAAAATATAAGCTCAAATCTGATTGAATATTGAACCAATTTTGGTTTTAAAATTTTGGCTGATCTTCCAAACTCTTAAATCAACAAGATATTTATATTTATCGAATCCAATTCATTCCCCCTCCTATCCTTTTTTGTTTAAAACTATTATCCATGGATCAAGGCAAACATATTAACAAAAAGTGAACACTAAACAGCACTGCATGAAGAAGATTAAAAGGAAAAATTGATCATCAGTGGAGGAGGACGAATTTTATTTATACCTCTCTTCCTTGTGCGGCTGCAGAGACATAAAAGCTATCCAGATATACATGGGCGAGATGATGACCAAGAAGTCTGGAACATACTTTTTCTTTGCAACAGGAAGGATTACAATGAAAAGCAGAGCCAGGACAAAACAAAAGTTGAAGTTATTGAAGCCATTCTTCAGATAAAACAATGGTCCCTCAGTACCATACAGATGACTCTCCCCGCCACCCAATACGTTATATATCAATAAGTTGAGAACAGAAGAGGTCCATTTGCTGTAGTAGAAGTAGTCAACAAGAACAGAAAGTGCCTGGAGGATAGGAAATACATACAACCCAATATTAAATCACAGAGAAAAATCAAGAAAATAGCAAACGTATGTTATATGAAGCATGTAACAAGATTTCAGCATGTGAACTCAGAGCTATGTATATCTAAGTTGTAAGTAAATTTAACTTACCAGAAGGGTTAGGGAAGTTACGACACCAGACACAAATGTTAACTTAAAATTTTTACGCAAGGAGAAAACAGTAACAGGCAGAAATGCCAAAACTGAGAAAGGCCAACCAAGAATGACCCCAGTGGCTGCAACTGCAACAGCAGCAGCAGGTCTCTCAAAAAGAAAAAGTGCCGATGATAGAGACATCGCATACATAGAGAATGAACTTGGCAAGAAACCTGCATTTAAAGCCATATTGACAATCATGTATGCTGAAAAGAACTTAAAATGTACAATTTCATCCTAACTAGTTAAACATAGAGCCAACTCCAAAATGCCAAATGAGTTCTTACTTTGCATAGATTATTATCTGATAACTCAAACTATTTTGATGATTTACAATTGAAAGAAAAGAACATAATAGAAATAGCTCACTTACTCGTACTAGCAAAGAAACAACCACTGCACAAGCATAGCATGGCCAGCGTATATGAAGCGAGGCGTTTACCATACTTCCGGGACAGGGCAACAACTAAAGCAGCATCTGCAATGACAGAAAGACTGCCAAGAAAGATTCTGACTGCATAGAAGACTCTCACCTGAAATTTAAATTTAAGAATGAGCACTTTGAAACAAGAAACAGAACCATCACCAGTTCAGCACAAAACAAAAGCTTATAAAGATGATCATATAACTTACTTTTTCTTCACCAAACCACCAAGATGCAGGCAATCCAACTAAGTTGTGGAAAATAATATACAAATACGACCGCAGTGCAAACTGGGAGCTTCAGAACACACAAAAAAAAGGATTACTTCAGTACAAATTTAAAGTCCAAAAAATCACAAGAAACATTGGGAACGACAAGATTGACACAATTCCATGCATGACTAAGTTGAACAAACTAAAAATTTAGGGTAAAAGTACTTACTCATTGCCAAGAGAACCATCGATTTGCAATGAAGGGTGTTCATAGCGAATCAAAAGTGTGAATTAAGTATCACCAAGACCACTTGCAACATATTGCCATGTGACTACAACATACTATAACATCACAATAATCAATCTAATAAATGCATTTTTTTTAATATATATATATATATGTATTTGTGTGTATATATTTAATCAAGAAATTATTATTCAAAAAAAATAAAATTCCAAATCCTTTTCTTATAAGAATTTATAGATAAAATCAAATTCTAGTTATTTTCAAATATGGTTCCTCTCTGTACGGATCAAAGCATACAACTACGCAAACCCAAACTAACTTCCAAAGAAAGCGAAAAATGTTCTTATATATCTTAAATTCTTCAGTCATAATTGAAAACAAACTCAATATGTAGAAAATAAATAAATAGATAAATACAATCAGCATATGCAAGAACGACAAGATAGGGTTTTGCGCATACCTGTATTCCCATGTCTGGAAGCCGGATTTATAGAGAAGGAAATGGAGAGGCTCCCAGTAATTAAAGACTTCATCGCAATCGTGAATTATATTGGACGACGCGCTCATGTACCGAAGCATTCCCAGCACCAACAAAGGCAGGAGCCATCCGACCCCCTGGTCAGCGTCACTGGGCCGACGTTCCCGTTTGTCCAGCTTGGAGTACGCAGAGGAGGCCGTTCCGAGATCGGGCGCCGACGTTCGCCGCTGCCTTGCAGTCGAAGCCATGTCTTAGACTTCACTGGTAAGTTTCGCTTTCTCGAGCTCGTATCGTATAAGCTCTGCCTGCAGTCTCTCAGTCTGGTAAAACCCGAAATCGGGTCCGGGTTTTGAAATTCGTACAAAAGGAACCAAGTTGCGGGTCGGTTCGGATCGGTTGCAACCGATCCAGACCGTCTGACCCTGACCCGATTCAATACCGCCCAATTCCCATATCAAATTAATTTTGAAACAAGCCCTGTTTACACTTGACACCAATAGTCATTATTCAATTTTTTAAAAACATTATTTAAATTATATATATTTTTTCTTTCATACCCAGCAAAGTAACTCAATATTTTCATTTATAATGGTAGAATATCTATCCATCATAGTCACTCAAACCTTGAATATTGACAACATGAATCAAGATTTCCAAAGCATCGCACAATTTGATTGCAATGACAAGTATAGGCTACATTACACTGCAAAACTTGTATTAATCATTCCCTCCTCGCTTATATGGAAGAACAAGAACATCTGGTTTTGTTCCCCAAGAGGATTTGGCTCTCAAGCTACCAAATTGGGTGCTGCCCCAACAGCCAAATTTTCCGAGTCGAATTTGATGCTTCTTGCAACATCAAAGAAATGAGCCACTGCTTCTTCTGGAGTACCCACAAGAACTCCATGGCCCAGGTTGAGGATATGGCGCCTCGTCCCGGCACACTCCACAACCCTGCAAAGCAATTGAGGTAAAGTTATATGCCCATGGTTTGACCTGAAGACTAGGTGAACATTTTCGAGTTATCAGCTCGAAGGTCAAGGGAAAAAAGACTAAGCATATGATGAGCCTAAATTTCCAGGTAAAGTATGTATTGGGTTTCTCTAGTTCCTTTTGAGGGAGAAGACAGAATATTATTGACACACAATTCGTATGACATGACAAGAAAAACTCCTTCCCATCTATTTTTAATTTAAATATCATATTGAAATCTTGGTTTCAATTCAGTTTTATACTATTTTCACAACAATTCAAAACACCAAAAACAACCAAACAAACCAGCTTTTGCAGGGAGACACAGACTTAAGTTGATTGAACACACCTGTTTATTTCATCCGTTAAAGCAGGTAGAGTGGAAAATAGGCAGGCAGGGTCCACGTTTCCTTGTATACTAATATCATTTCCAAGGCGCCTCCTTCCATCGGCCATGTCCACCGTCCAATCAAGCCCAATAACATCAACTCCAGTTCCTTTCATCTTCTCAAGAAGCCCACCATTTCCATTGATATAGAGCACAAGTGGCGTTTGAGGACATCTATCCTTCACCACTCTTACAATCTGCATTCACAGTGTATAAATTTTCTTAAACCATAGCTTAACTATAATTCATTGTTCTAGAAAAGGGTCTGCTGTAAACTACTTATTGATAAACATTTAACCAAGAAAAAAAAAAACAGAGAATTCAACAAAATCAATTCACCAAACAACCCATATGCTTTGTAAGATTTCTTAAAGAACTCTAAAGAATCAACAACAAACCTTATTGTGGGAGGTAGATTGCATCATTTTTCAAAAAGCTTCAGGTGGTTTTGGTAAATGGTAACTTTTTCATCACAGGGAAGTAAGGATATATTAAGATAGCTTGAATCACCTCATTTATGTACGGCTTTGACCATTGGTCCCACATATGAGGCGGGAGTTGGCCGCCCCATGAATCAAATATCTGTATGCAGTGAGCTCCGGACTCCACTTGGAAAATGATATATTCGGTTATTGCTGTTGTCAAATGAGACAAAAGACTCCTTAGCAAACGGGGTGCTGTATGGCACATACTTTTTATTGTTGTATATGTGCGAGTTGTTCCCCCTTCGACTATATAGGTGGCAATAGTCCATGGAGCTCCAACAAATCCCAATACCGCAGCTTGTCCTTCTACCTAAAACATGAGCACAAAAACAGACTTCTTCATCACCAAAATAGATCCCTAGATCAAGGCCATGAATCTTAAAAAACATGACAAACCTGTTTCCGCAATATTCTAAGAGATTCTCCAACAAATTGTAGCTTATCCAAATCAATCGGGTGCAATGCTTTCAAGCTCTCTTCGGAACGAATAGGTGATTGTATTATAGGACCTCTCACATCTTCTATGTCAAAAGGAACACCAAATGCAGGGAGTGGGGTGAGTATATCAGAGAAGATGATTACGCCATCAGGTTTGAAAGCTTCCCAAGGCTGCAAAGAAATTTGCACAATGAGATCAGTCGTCTCTGATCTCTCTCGGAAGGATGGGTATTTCTCTGCAAGCTTTCTATATACAGCCATGTACCTTCCCGCTTGGCGCATCATCCATGCAGGAGGTCGAATGACAGGATCTCCTCTAGCAGCCTTCACCAAAAGTGGATCTGAATCTGTGAAGGATAATACCAAGTCAAGAAATTTGACTTGGGCTAATAAACAACAATGCAGTCTCATATAAAGCTAGTGCATAACCTACGCCAATATGTTTCTCTATTTTGTGCACCCTCACATTTCAGTCTGAGAACACCTTTGCACCAAACATTCAGTTGTTCGTATATAATATATCTGTTTGCAAGTCAATAATCACCCAATAATCACTTCAACTCAAATTCAAATACGTACAAATCTAAATGCACACATCACACAAATTATAGAATTGCAGGCACAAATGCATAAGAGCTCACAGGGAAACAAACATGTAAGAATGAATACATATATTCCAACTTAGCGCAAGTATAATGGCTCTTTTTACATATACTTTTGGAACTTTTAGCACTATTCATCAACAATAACTTTTTCAAACAATATTACATTAAATATCTATTTCTTCTCACAAAATATCATATCAAATACTAACTTTTCTATTTCCAAAATTTCAAAACTCCAAAAGCCTCTATGTAAACTTTGGCACTATTTGTAAATGCTATGCAATTTTTCCCAATATCTGCATTCTATTGTTTGTACTTTGATACTTTATGTAAGGAAAATACAGAAACATTCAAATCAAAAGTAATCACAAAATACTGACATACTTAAAAAAGGATTTTAATCTCACAAAACGAACAATTTTGCTTTAATGGCTATTATAAATTTATAATCCTGACCAAACTAGGATTCAACCCATCGCAAAATCCACCTTCATTCTTACTCCCACGTTAAATTCTGCCCAATGCTGTAGCACCATGTGATAGTCATCTTTACTTGGCATCAAGAATGCTTTGGACTTGGTTAACACACACCACTTCTACATACCTATCTATATAAGCAACCAAATAAAACAGCAGGAAAATAAATAAATAAAATAACAGAGAAATAATATTGGCATAGGTTTTTCACTAGTAATTTCCAGTCCACAATTATATCCTTGCCCTAATTTGAGCACCCAAAATAATAACCCTAAAATAAAAAGCACACACATTCACAGAGCAGTTGGAGCAGAAAGGTACCAGAAGAAGAAGCAGACGCGCGAGGGCAAGCGAAGATCGTAGGTCGCGGGCGCTTGGGAAGGAATGCGCCACCAATTGACCTGCCAGTGGGCAGAGAATGCAGGGGCACCATGAAGGTCGATGACAGCTCCACAGGGCATGAAGAATTGCAGCAGCCACTGGCGCAGGAAAACAATCGAAATCAAGCAGGGGGATAAATAATTCGTCAGTTGAATCGCGATCCAGAGGGAACCCGAGAGCAAGAATAAACCAATAGAAAGAATGCAGAGCATTTAAGAGTGTCCGTTCCCGACTTGCCTGGCAATGGCGGAGAAGGCCATCAGAGTTCAGCGATCGATCGTCGTCGTCGTCGTCCGGCTACGCCACTGCTCAATCCTCTGCTATCTCCGCCTTATCCTCTCCCGACAAAAAATGACGCTAGCTAATATACTCTCTGCCTATCACATTTTAACCGACATCTTTTAATTGACATTATTTATTTATTTATTTCATTTTATGCAACCATGTTGATATTTTTAAAATAAAATTTAATTTAAATATTTTCCACAGTAAATTAATATAATATGGATAAAAGAATTAATATAAATTAATTTTTTTAATTATTTAATTTATTTAATATAAATAAAAATATTTTATTTATTGATATGATAAAAAAAAATTATAAAAATTTGAATAGATCTTATGGGATATAAAGGTTAAAAATTTAATAAGTTCATTGATCCGGTGAGATACTAACAATTTAATTAACTTAATTATATTTATTAAATTAATAAATTTATTAAAAATAAAAAATAGTCAAAGTAAAGAAAAAAATGTAAATATATATGTATCAATTAAAATGGAATGAAAAAATATATATATATATAATTAGACATATAATATTAATTATAGGATTTTTAAAATAGACCATTTCAGAATAAGCAGAAAAATACTAATATATAGATAAATATTATATTGAGTTTAATATTTTAAAGTAGAATAATTTGGAATGTGTTTATCAAATAATTTTCTATTGAAATGAATTTCAATGATTTTTTAAATTATTAATACATTTTTCACATTTTCAGACTAAAACACAAAACGCAATTAGTTTTTTTATAAAATAATAATAATAATAATAATAATATATTTTTGTCAGTAGTGATTTAATTTCAAATCATATAACATTATTGTTGAGGGAAGAAAATCAACGTGCGATTTTCGAGAATAGACTTGTAAATTGGACTATGACTTGATGTATAATTCGATGGGCCTGTCAATAATGGGTTTAGTGTAGGCCCAACGATCAAGACGTTACTAAGAAATAAGCTTCTTCGAGAGGACCTTCGACTAGATGATCGATTGACATGGAGGCCGGACAAGGAGAAGTCGGACAAAGAAAAAGGAAACAGTAGACGTTTAGATTGGTTGGTGTGGAGGTCGGACAAAGGGAAGGAAAATCGGGCGAAGGAAGAAAAGGCGGTGGTGTTTAGGCCAGTCGACACGGAGGTCGGACAAGTAAAAGTCGGGCGAAGAAAGACGAGGCCGTGAATGTTCAGGTTGGTTGAATAACAGTTTTAGAGCGATTGAAAGAAGTTACAACCGATGGGCGGATATAGACGACCTAAAAAAGGCATCTTCAATCCACAGTGAATTTCTTTTGAGATCATCCTTTCACTTTTCCTTTGTATCGTACGGTGTCGAGGGATTCTCAATCTCAGACATTTATTTAATCAAATTCAAAAGTAATTCCTCTTTTCGGATTTTACTATTTATTGTTGAAAAAAACTACTTCAACAACCATTGGAGGCATTAAATATAATTCACCAAACAAAATTGAATTAAAATAAAATCAACATTATTTCAGAGATCAACTTTAGAATGTGTAACAAATTAAACTACACTAACAAACTATCTATACACATTGCATGGGTGCAAGCAAACATGTTATCGAACTACCAAAGTGTATAAAAAAGAAACCAAAGTTGAATTATGAGCTTAAAATGGCCTGGCCTATACAGTCACTACACAAGAAATTCAATTGATCATGGCATGAGATGAGATCAGGTAGAAACCTCAATGAAGGACTCGATTAAGGACAGAGATCTGACCCGAGTCGCCATTCAGAAAGAAAACTTCCAGCGGTTCGTACGAGGATGAGGATGAAGTTACAGAACTGAATCTGTATGTTGGCTGTAAGATTTTGCTCCCTTTAGGACACGGGATAGTCAGAAGTCGAGGCCCGGTTCTCATCTGCCACACCTGCGACAAGAAGGGCAAGTAGCTTAGCCCGGACAGCACATACAACATCAACTGTATCATGTCAAATGTAAGGAATCGCATCGGTGTGCTCCTTTGTGTTTTCTGAGTTTTTTTTTTCTTCAGTGTGCTACAAGAAATTTATTTTAAATCCTTATAAAACATTATTTAAAAAAAATATATCATAAACATATGCTTTTGGTTCAAAATATCACATTAAAGTATTAAACATCTATTTTCCATTAAAGACATAACATCATACCTATTTTCAATTCAATTTTTTTACCAATAGTGTCGACATATAGTTTAAGGCTCTGTCTTCAAATCACTTATGATACTATTTTTCAACAACATATCTATTTTTTTTTTAAATATTACATTTATATTGAGATGATAATTTCGAAATCCTAACGAGAATCAATACTCAATATGCCCACCATGGTTCTCTGAAACCATGTTAAGAAGGGAGATTTGGAATTCCAATTTAAAATGAATTGGTATTAAATAGAGTAACTCTTCATCCTTATAAATAATAGGGAGTTCCCAAATTTTTTCTTCATGGAACAATATTGAATACAAATATTATTTTAATAAAAAACCCAAACCTCCAAACACAATCTAGACCGAAAAGAATCACACCTATACAAATATCACATCCAACATCTGTCTACATAGCATTAATTATCTATTATTTAATGACTTTCTACTATCCTCGAACTCTCTAAAACTCCCAAATACTTCCAAAACAGATCTAAACACAACCTTGGTTATTTTATGGTAATTCATATTATTATCGAACGCATATTGAATATATGAGTATATAGGATGACAAAATTAATCAACAACATCACTTGAAAAATGTATGCATATTCTAAGGTTTCCTGAGTGGTTTCAAGTTCAAATATTAAAGGATGTTATATATGGAGAGGCAGAGGAGAGGGAAGAAAAGTACCTCGACTATTCCTTTCCGTGGTGCATGAATAGCTAAACAGAGACAATAATCACTTTTAGAATATCTGTTGTCAGAGGAGCTAGCAGCTGCCTTATTTTTAGCAGCAAGCATCTCAACAAATAAGCAGCTCGCTTCACGATACCCCTGCAAAAGAAACAAAGGTTAGCAATAAGAATGTACACAAGAAGTGGAAAGCATAAGTTTTCACAAAACAACAATATTAAGATTTTAAATATAATGTCATGGGAGCCTAGAAGGTACGAAATCAATTATATATTGTCAATATACCTTCCACAATCGCACAACGACAAGTGCCTGGGTGTCCAAGAGCAAAATACGGCCAAGTGAATCTGTTATTGCAGCCAGAGTGCCACTGGGAGACAATGTGAGTTTCTCACCCTTTCTTGGGTGATCCTTCAAGCAAGTTAGTGGAGATGCTGCAATTAATTAGATGTCATTGGCAAGAATTTAATAAAAACATGCCAGAGATATCAACAATCATAAGGGCATGTAATGGAATTTAACTTATCAATTAAAATTAATGACTTAGAGGCAAAAGCAAATTTTCCCACCTCGAGCAAATGGTTGGGTTTTAGCTTCAGGCTTTTTTGTTTCATTTGGGTCACTACGCCAAATCAATTTTGAAAATGAAGCAATTGTCGAAAATGTTGCAGGAACAACTTTTGACAGAATGGCTCCAACCAGTGATCTGCTCTTGTTCACCGAAAGTCTTCAAGGAAGAAAAAAACAACTATTACAGACAACACATTTGCTTCGATAAGGGAAAAAGAAAAGGTGCATAATGGTGAATTATTATCAGAATCCAAAATACTAACCTAAATGCTGATATCACGGCATCATCTCCAACAGTGACGGCACAATAATAGCGTTCAGTTGACTGCCCAACAATAAAATCAGCTGAATTCAAATACCAGAATAATTCAGAAAGTTTCCAAAAGTCAAAGAACAAAAGAATAAGAACAAAAAGAATCCATCGTAAAAGCAAACTAGAACTTGGCAGAAGAAATAAACAAAAAAGGGCGCGGAACTTTTTGCAGTAATAACTAACAATTTCAGAAACCATACGACCAATGTCAAATAGTCTAAAGAAATCGATAATCATCATGGATGAACAATTTTGTTACATCCAATATAATGCCAGTTACATAATGAATTTCAATAAATTCCAAATATATATGTACATTCCCAACATCACTAAAACAATTTCCTGTTTTTCTTAAGGTTAAAAATGTTTTTTATCAATAAAATTAGTATCGAAGCCTTAGGCTTTTCCTGAAAACGCCTACTATATGTGTATATATGTTTTTTATTTTCTATTTATAACTTTAGCTGCAACCATTCCATCTTCTAGGGATTTTTATTTTAGTTCTCACTTTGATTTTAACTCGAAAGTAAAATATAGAAGCTTTTAGAAATCGAGGAGCTTACCTGGATTTCCATCAAAGGAGGGGGCATAACACCAGTAATAGCAGCATCAGCACATAACCCATACTTGCTAACATTCCATAACTGATATGGAAGGCTTGCAACTGAATTTCCTGGATCGTCTGAAATTGTGTCGTAGGAATCTGTCTTCCATGACTGAGATTGAGTTTCTTGAAACCACTGCTGCATCAGATGCTGCATTTTCCAAGGGCACATGCAAACAATATTAAATAAAATTCAACATCCAAAATCCAACCAATAAATGAGAAACTTCATTACAAACAAGGTGAATAAGAACAGTATTTCATGCCGTGGTTTGAAACATCTGTGCTCATAAAACTAGGAATTGAGACAATGCAAGTTTCTTTCTTCAGGGAACAGCACAACCTTCTTATACCTTAATATCAGATCCTTCGAAACGAGCAATCACACCAGGCATTACAACACAAACCTCCTCTGAAGTGGTATCTTGAGTCAGATCTTGTCCAGTTCCTCGCACCCTTAACTTAAGAATCTTTCCAGGATTCACAATCTGCAAAATACAATTCCAAGATGAAGCAATCGAAGCTCAACCATTTATAAAGATTCATTGATCTGCTCAAACCAGATGAGATATATAGGCTGAGACGTTTCATTCAAAATAGTGACAATTCAGCTTCATTTCAGAAAGAAATCTAACTACTAAAGTAATTTCATTAATCCAATTTCGAAACCCCAATTCTAATAAACGATGTATTGATAAACATTGAATTGGGGCAAGTAGATCATGTTTTTACAGAAATTTTACTTTCTGCATTCATTCCACCCAAAACTGCAGAGAAAACTCAGATAGACCTAAAACAATCAATTGTTTTTTCACAATGTTTGCTCAGCCACTTCCACAGAAGGATAATTCGATTCAATTAGCTGGAAGGAAAAATAAAAAATAAAAAATCCCTAGACAATACACAAAGATAAATGCCAAACAAAGAGGCAGGAGATGAACAGCAGATACCTGTCTGTGAATGAGTCGACCGTGGATAGAGAAAAGCATAAGATACCCACACGAGGTGCCAGCGGCGAGGATTCTGATGTCATCGTCGAACACAAGCCACTCGACGGCGGAGATATACTCATTTTCAATCGGCGACAGCTCCGGTAGGATCTTGACGGCGCGATGGCTATCTAGTTCGGGACGTCCAGTGATAGATTCCGACCAGTGAAGGAGCAGTATCAAGGAGCGATTAGCGAGCGCAAGAGAGCGAGTGTCGAGGGCAACATGAAGATTGGGGTTGTCCACTAGCCAGCCTTCCCTTCCAGCACCTAGATCGGATAAATCCACCCCGGCGATGCATCCGAGCTCCGTCGTGTGGTTACGGCGAGACATTGGCGCCGGAGATCTTCAGGGCATACTCGCCGATCGGAGGCTTACGGTCGCCGTTAGTGAAAAAGGTAAGAGGAAATGAAGATGAATCGCAAGCAAAAGTATGGACTTTGTCTATTCACCAACAATTATTTATTTATTTATTTATTATTTTTCTTTTTATTTTTTCACTAGTAATTTTTTTCTTTGTGATGCGAACTTAATAATATTAGTCTAAATTGTACTCCGGATATTAAAAGTGAGTAATAATTGTTATTTGTTTTTATAATAAAAAATATACAAAAGTGTAACAATTTTTTACTTAAAAAACAAACGAAAATATTTTTCAATGACAACAAAAAAAAATAAACGTGAACATAAATTTGATTTGAATAACAGAGTATAATATCATACATAATCTATTTTATTTATTATATAAAATTCTTTTTTACAATATAAAATAATTGATTTTTTTTTATTATAATAAAATTTGATAAATAGTAAAAATTTGAAAAAATATTCCAATACGAACACATTAGAAAAATAGCTACAAATTTGACTTGGTTTTATGTTCTTCAAATTCAAATTTTTATTATTTTAAAAATTTTAATATATTTTAAAGTTTAAATGTGAACTGAATTTATAGCATGTATATAAGAACATGAGTGAAAATAACTTCGAATCGGTTGATTTTATTATTCAAATTACAATTTTTCAACAACAAATAACATGAACACATGGATATGCATCAAACATCATAAGGTAAGAAGAACACAATCAACCAACAACTATCCGAAGCATCGTGATGCATGAGCGCTGTCATAATTATTTCTTGGCGAGACCTTTCCTTACCCACAATGCGGATCTCTTAGGAATTCTCTTGAGATTGTCATTGTAGTTAGTGTAGACCAACCCGAAGCGCAATGTGTAGCCGGCGGCCCACTCGAAGCAGTCCATAAACGTCCACGCAAAGAATCCCTTCACGTTCACACCCTTGCTGCAAGTACCCATAATCGAGATTTTGTTCTTATGCCGAAACTAAATTTATTACAACATTGAAAAGAGATCTATAAGAGGATGCGTGTGTGAATGTACGTACGCTATTGCTTCTCGAACAGCGTTGAGATGAGTGTTGTAGAAATCGATTCTTTGAGGATCATTTGTGCTTTCTTCTACACTTGTTCCGAGTTGATCACCGATACCTAAACTCCATATATCATATTAACAAGTAAATAAGAGTACATAACCGTTCTTGTCATTTTGATCAGTTAAGTAAAACATATATAGAAATTTGTTCTATATTCAATCCCTAATAGTTGAAAAAATTTCTATAACAGGAATATCATCCCGTGTGTTGATATGTCAATTTTCAAATTGAATGTATATTTTTTTTCAAAAAATAATTATATAAAATAAAATTAGTTCATATCAACACACACTGTAATATTCCAATTGCAAAGATTTTATTTTATTTTTTTAAATGAATACTTATTAAGAAATAGAACTATTTTTTTTATATGTTTAATTTAAATGACAAAAAAAAAATGTGGCACACGGAACCAAAAAAGATATTTATTTTGAAAAGTATATTGTAAATATATTTGATATAGAAGACATCTTTTAAATATATTGTTACCTGATTCGGTAATGATAATGGTAGGATTTTTGTAATTCTTCTTGATGTAGAGTAGAAGTTCTCGTAGCCCTTGAGGAAATGAAAAAAATATTTTCACCCCTGTCTGAAATTTTAAAATCACAAAGTCATTTTCATTTTTATTTAATTTCAATTCCTTTATATAAATTAACATGCATGTAAAGATATGCACTATATTTATAATTTATGGACTATAATATATATATATATGAAAACTTACCGGTTTTCCTATGCTGACTCCGTTAATATCAGTAGCTGTTGAAAAATAGATAAAATGAAATCAATAAATAAACAAGAATTATTCATTTTTGCATAATATAAGTATTAAAAATAAAAAAAAGATAAAAAATAATACATACATAAAAAGAACTATAACCTAACTATATATTATAAATTAATGACCAATAATTTTTATCAAGGTTTGTTTGCTTGATCACTTTTTTTTTTTTTTTTAAATTTTATTTTTACATTATTCAGTTTTTACAAATTACTAATAAAAAAGTACTGTTTAAATAATAATAATAAAATAATAAAATTACCTGAAAGAAACTCTTACAAATTATAAATACACGAAAAAAAATTGAAGGTGCAAATAATATTAAAAGACAAATTGCAATATCTTTAAGGAAATCTAATGTATAACATTTTCTAATATGTCTACATAATTATATTTAAATAAATAAATAAAACTTCTCCTATGCATTATAAAATTTTAAATCAAAGTAACCGTTTATAGATTTGACTAAAAGGGGTCCAAATAATATAGAGTTACTAATATGATCCGTAAACTCACTTATTTACACTATAGGTTTTTTTTTTTTTTTTTCTTTTTATTTTTATGAAATGAAAACCGCAGCCGCTATTCGAGAGTGCGCATTATATGTTATTCTTATAAATATGAAGTAAAAACATTAAAGATTTTCATAACTTATGGTTGAACTAATTAGAATCATAACACAATATTTGTTTTTTTTTTTTTTTAAAAAAACTTCGATAAATATTTTGAGAAATATTAAAAGTAAATAGAGAACTAACTCGAGAGATTGGCCATCTTGTCATTAGTGTTGGAGAGAATCCCATTTTGAGAGCGAACGTTGGATGCATAATTTCCTGTGTAATAATTCACTCCCAAGAAATCGAAGGATCCTATTAACAATTTAACTTGGTCGGGTGTGAATTTTGGCAATCTGCTTCCCACAATGTCAATCATAGTTTTTGGATAACTTCCGTATACTAGAGGATGAATAAACCTACCATTTAAAAATAAATAAATAAAATAAAACACGGTCAAAATATATTTAAATTATTATAAGTGTATATATGTGTATATTTAAAATTTGTTACCATCCAAATATAAAATCAATAACTCTTCGAGCTGCCTTGATATCTTGAGGGTCGGTGCGATTTCTCGGTTCGAACCAATGCGACACTAACACTATCCCTATTTTGCCCTTTTGGACAGCCTGCACAAAATAATCAAACAATTAAATTAAGACTATTGAGACATCGATGATGAATGAGATATAAGATTGTTTTTAGAGATGGTTCGACTAAATAATTGAAGTAAGGCTAAAATTATAAAATTTAACTAAAAAAATGAGACGGTAGGGGAGAATAACTATTTTTAAAAGGACAATAAATGCATATACATATACAATAAAACAAATAACATATATTTCAATATAGTACATTATGTTGTAAATATGTTATATTGCATATAATATATTATTGTCTTAATTATGTATATATGCACACATGCTGATTTGACTTAATCAACAATAAGTTTACCTCATAGAAAACATAAATACTATAATTTTAAATTTTTTTAACCAATTAATTTGAAATTTGGATTACATTATTGAATCATTACCTGGTATTTTTGTTTGTATAATTTGACAACTTTGGCATGAGCAAGAAGCAAATGGTGAGCTACGATGTAGGGTTCCGTGGCTGAGTTCCCTTCTGGGCAATCCTTGGAGCACCGCCCGGGTGCATGGTGTCCAACGAATCCCCCGTCATATCCGGCATTGGCGAAACTTAGTGGCTCGTTCAGTGTCATCCAGTTCTTAACAAGATCGCCAAAGTGATGGAAACAAACATCCGCAAAATCCTTAAAATCATTTCTGCAAAACAATGTATGTTTTTATATATGTTCGATTATTGTTTGTGTCGAAATAATGAGCTCTATTTATTGATGTAATTTTCTTACAGAATGTTTGGGCTTAAAAAACCTTTGTACTCGTCCTCAAGGGCTTGGGGAACGTCCCAATGAAATAGTGTCACATATGGAACTATACCTGTATGAAATTATGTATAATTTTGTGTGTATATATATATAATTATCACAAAATTAAATAAAATGTTAGGAATTTTTTAAAATATGGAAAATAAATTTGTTACATCATAATATTTAAGTAGTTTTTTTTTTTTTTTTTCATACCATTTGCTTTCAATTCAAGGAAGAAATTTCTGTAGTAGTCAATTCCTTTCTGGTTGATTCCTTTTCCATTATTTAGCTTTCCGGCTGAATCACAAATAAATAAATAAATAATAACAATAGCAACAAAAACAATAATAATTAAAACTATTGAACCGTTATTCGATATTTTTTACATACTTCAAAGTAGATTATCCGATGATACAGAAAATGATTTTCACAATTTCATTGAATATATTTAAATTATATGAAAGATCATTTTAAACATTCAATATATATATATATTTGAAATATTTTCCAATAAATATTATAAAAACTTACAATATGCAAACACAATATATAAGTATTCATTTTAAAAAAATCAATAATTTATTTTTGTATTAACAATATAATTCTCCATATCTAATATATAAATACATACATCTAAAAACACAGAGTGAGCACACTCTATGAATTTGTTTGGTTTGTATTTTTTTTCTTCAATTTTCCTCTTTAATTTTTACTTTGTCTATAAAAATCACATCACATAATATTTTATATTATGTCCAATAATTATTTTACTTAAAAATATCAAATTGCAATTTTGTGTTGTATGTATCCCCTGAGCATTATTTTGTTTTATAATTTTGCATGAATATATATTGGTCTTTTTTATACCAAATTTCAAACTTTATTTTTATTTTTTTTCATTTTAAAGAATTAAAATGATAAATTCTGAGATTATACTTATATTTGTAATGGTAAAGGTGATTTTTCATGTTTAAATCTTAGTTTGGCATTATTTGTGCTACAATAAAATATTTTTCATCCTTGACACTCAAATACATCTACTATCTCCGTCCACCGTCAATCTATTCATTTACTTTTTGCATGTTAATATTTGAATATTAATTATTATATCAAAACGTAGTACAAATCAAGAAAAAAAAAAGACAAAAATGCTTCTATTGGTGTCTTATAATACTAATGTAATGATATTTGTATAAAAAATTATACAAATATAAAAATATTTTTAATTTTAAAAACAATAACGCCAAATGCAAATGAATAGATAGGTAGTATCATTTATCTTAGAAGATTGAACTTCTTCATGTAACAAATTTCTTCATCATTTAAAATTTTTTCCTAAAAATATCATATTTACCCTCTTTTTTTTTTTTTTTTTTTTTTTTTTTCTATAAGACTTATTTTATATAATAAAATATTAAATTTAAATTTTATAAGACACTATGTCCATACTTACTAGGTAAGATTCTTGGCCATGAAATAGACATTCTGAAAGCATCCAACCTCAGCGACTTCATCAATTTAATGTCATCCTGCACAATTTCTCAAATTTAATTATATTCCAATAATAATTGAACCAATCATTCATTTCATTTCATAATAAGGTCATATGTTTATTTGTTTTTTCAGTTATTTATTTATTTTTAAAATATGATATTCAACACTCATACTTAAAATAAATAAATAAGATTACACACATTATGTAAACAAACCAAACAATATTTTAATGTTACATTTTTTATTATTTTAAAAATATATAAATTACTCAACTGTAAAATATAAATGAATTATATAGTAAAAGGCAGAAATCATAAAATTACCTTGTATCGATGGTACATGTCAAGGGCTACATCCCCATTACTTCTGTCCGTTATTTTTTCTGCATACAAATGTGTTATTTATTTATTTTTACATTTTGCAAGTGAAAGTAATTATTCAATTTAATATTTTAAATAAAAAACAATTTGTATATAATATTTTTTTAAATATAATAATTAATTGAACAAAGATTGTATCTCAGTATTGCTATCTTTGACTAAAAAACAAAGTGTCATTTATCGAGTATTGACAAAAATGTAATTATAGAAATTATTTTCAGTGTAAAAAATTAAATATTAAAAATGTATTTCTGACAATTCGGAATCTTCCAATTTATCGTATTGAACACTTTCCAAGAACAGATTTTGCAATTATTTTTATCTGGCAAATTCCTTTTTTTTTTTTTTTTTTTTTTTTTTTCCAGCAAAAAGAAAAGGGATAAAAATGTCAATAAAGTAATGTGCATATATGATTTGTTACTTATAATTATGGTTAACATATATTATAAATATTTATTTTTTTCTTAATTTATTTTTGTACTTTCAAGATTATTGAAATGGTAAGTTTTTGATTTATTGAAATGTCAATAAATTTTTAATTATTATTTGTGTTTCTTCTTTAGTATTTATTAAAAAGTCCTAACACTTCATATTAAAAAACTAACAATCAATTGTAAGTTACAATTCACAAGTCAACCATATTCTAATATATGATTAAATATTATAGATATTCACCCATCATTATCGTTATTATTAAATTGAACAAATATATAGCGACTATTTAACACATCCAATATATTTATATTAGATTAAATTAAAATACCCCCAAAAGTTAAAAATCTATTTAATTTTTTTTTTCTTCCAAAAATATCATATCAAACAATTATTATTATTATTTTTTATATTATAATACAAATTCATTTTACATTCAAAACATCACGTCAACCTCTATTTATATCACATCAAACAACTATTCAAATTCAACTTTTTACTATTCAAAAATCTAAACTCAAAAATTAAAATCCACGAACAAAACACACCCCTAATGTTCGTCACCATACACATTAGACCAAAATAATATTATGCACATCAATTTAAAAAAAAAAAAAAATCTACATTATTAACTAATACAGTTATGTAATTACTACTTTTTATTATAATTCTTTTTCGTAATTTTTTCAATAATATTTTTTATTTTATTTTATTTTATCTATTCTATTTTAACGTTACAATATAAGTATCTTTTATTTTTATTTTCATACCATGTAAAATCACTTCGAAAATTTATTATTTTTTTTTCACAAAATATTATAAATAAATTATATTCAATCAAAATTTTTAATCAATTTGTTGAAACTATACAACAAAACCAGCTCTAAACATGCACGATTTATTTATACAGAATCAAACTCCTCAACTTAATCAAACATATATGTTTTTTAAAAATAATATATGCAATACATATTTAATATCATAAAATATTATATTAAATATTTACTGGAGAAAACTTACCTGGATATTTATGGGTGTAGGTATCCCAAATGCTGGGGCCCTTCCCATCGATAGCTGCAGCTCCTTCGTACTACCCCACAAAATAAACTCTAATTTAAGAAATTCGATCGAAATAAATGAATTACACTTTGTCGAAACCCTAATATACAGAAATGTACGTACTTGATAGGCCGCCGACGCCGCTCCGAAGAAGAATCCCGGCGGGAAGCTGCTCCGGTTGAATTCCGACAGATCGTAGTCGCCGCCGGCGCCTGCTCCGACGGATGTGCCGAGGAATGCTGTGAGAAGAAGAAGAAGCGGAAGAAGGTAAGCCACTGAGGTTTTTAGGGTTTCCATGGCGGATTTGATTTGGGATGGGAATTAGTTGAGAGCGGTTTCCTGAAGATTATATAGAGGAAGAAGATGGAGGAGAGTGTAGATCAACGGCTGAGATTGCGAGATCCTGTAGACATGTGTTACACGCCGTCAGTCGATCTACAGCAGCATTTTATTATTATTTTATTTAATTAAGCCAGCGTGTAAATTTTAGCAAGGTGATTCACGTAGCGACCCGGCAAAAATTGACGCATATGAAATAATTGGGTTTGAGTCAAAGATTTCAATTCAATTATGTATACGGGTTGATATGAATCCGACACGATGATAAATGGATCAGATGAAGGTTGAGGTTCTCAACTCGAATCCGACACGACCCGATTATAATATATTAATATTGATTAATATATTTATTATATATATATAAAATAATCATAAGTTAATAATTTTTTTATAAATTAATTTAAACTAAATTTAATTTTAAATAATTCAACATAATTTACGTATTCAGGTCAACACGAGTCGATCCGAACCTGACACGATAATAAACGGGTTAACACGAACCCGACATAATAATAAACGAGTCGAGTTAGGGTTGAGTAATTTAACCTGTTTAAAGTATTCAACCCGATACGAACCGACTCATTGCCGGCTCGTATCAGTGTTGTCGCACATGTATTTAAATTAAATAAAAATATTATATATAAAATTTTGATACGATACGATTACTTATTTAAAGTATATTTATAAAAATAAATAAAAATAAGCATATCGTAATAATTTAATTTTAAATAATGGAGTATTAAAAAAAATAAATCCCTGGTGCCACCTCTCATGTCAGAATGATAGTAGTGGCAGCGATATGTTATTATATATACTTCAATGATATGTACTTATCATATTTTAAGTAAGAATGGACTGTAGTGTAGTGTAGCGATTAATTATAGCATGAGGGTATGGTTGTGACAGGTATGTTTATATATTTAAATTTAGGTCAATAATATTATTTAATAAAATATTTTAAGTTATGTCTCTTTTGACAAAAATCTCAACTTTACTATGTGGGCTCTGTATTTTTTGAAAAAAAAATATATTTTTTTTCTTCACAAAATATCTTATTATACATTATTTTAATACCAAATTTAAATCAAAATTTTTCCAAAACCATTAAAAAAACACACATAGGATTGATATTGAATGTAATATATATTGAGGGAAAAAAAATTTTGCAAATAAATAATAATTATTTTTATATTAACATGAGAATTTGCAACAGCTACTCATCGAGTGCGCTCTGAGTAAATTAACTTAATAATCTGCAAACTATTTCCGATAAATTAAATCACACTAGACGAACTATGTAAGTAACAATTGGATTTAGAGGTATCGGGGGCTTGAACCCTAACCTCACTGGGCAAGTCACATTATGTTTTTAAATTTGATTTGATTTGATTTTTTTTATTGTATCACATCGTAATTTTTTTTTAAATATAATGTCTTCTTTTATATATATATATATATAATATTACATTGAAATCACTATTCAATAAAAAAAAAATCAAATCAAATATCAAGATAACATGTATTTTATATTAGCCCCAATTATTTTATAGATAATTGTCAAATAAAAATATAACTTTTACATACTAATTACGCTATAAGAATATTAAATCATTGTTTGCAAATTATTGTAGATATTTAAATTGATTACATTTTTAGTGATTCTTTTCAATTCATTTATTATACAATACTTTTTTATAATTTTTTTAATATAAAATATATTCACCATTGTGTCAATTTTATACTTAACTTTTTTCTTAATAAATTACTAAAAAGATGTATATAAAACGGATGAAAGGAAGAAATATAATTTATCTTGAAAAAAAAAATTATACGAAGACTATCACTGATGATACATACTAAAAATTAATTTAATAAATTATGAGTAAATGAATTAATAAAATAGGATATAAAAAATTCATTAAGATACTCATTCGTCGTCTCGTAAGGAATAGCCTGGTGGTGCAGGAGTTGGATGTGTGACCGTTGACTTGCAGGGTATTCCGGGGGTTTAGCTGCGGAATAGAAAAATTATATATTCTATATGAAATTATGAGATTGCATATTTTTATATTTATACTTTTTTTTAGAAGAAAAGCAAAGTAATAAATAGAGTCGTAGTCGCCGAATTAATAAATATGCGGTTACAAGTTGCAATCTTGCTTCTTGTTGTCGATAAATTATTTTCATCCATATAGTCAATAAATTGAAGTTGCTAATTTTGTAAAATTGGTGTCAATTTTGGTCCAAAATTGGTCATATTACAAATAATGAAATTGGCTATACACAAAATTTGTTCCAAAAAATCGATCGTGCTACAAGTAACTACACGATCGATCCTAAAAGTGGTTAGAAAAATAAAATATGTACCTCGAGCTTTAATTGTTGTTCGATAGTGACCAAACCCTAACTATGGGATAATGTTAATACTAATTAGATTACCCTAAGCTTTCTATTATTAGTAAATTAATGTTATATAATTAATTAATCTATTTATTAATTAGTTCATTTAGGGCATGTAAGCTCATTTAATTTTTGGACCCTATTCAATTTGATTTTCCCTGCCATCCTATTTCTTATTTGAATTATCGATTAATTAATTTGCGGACCTGGATATTAATTTTATTATTTGATATTTTTATTTTTATTTGGATTTACACTATTCATCTCATTTTTTTTTCCAAAAAAATATGAAATCAAACACCTATTTTTTATTTTTTATATTATACTAAAAATCAATATTATATTCAAAACATCGTATCAACGCCTATTTATATCACATCATACAACTATTCAAATTCAAAATTTTTACTATTCAAATCCCAAATCAAAATCCAAACCTCCAAACAAACACACCCTTAATGTATTATTTTTATAATTTTGATTCATCTCATTTAATTTTTTTTTTAAAAAAATAATAAAAATAATCGTATTTAAATACCAAAATATTTTTTTATTTTTTTTTAAAAAAATATTCATTTCTTTTGTATTTTCAAGGGATAAAACATCAAAATTATCTTACATATTTTTATTAACTAATAAAATACTATTATTTTTTAATCTATTATAAAAAAATAAAAAAATAAATTGAATTGAGACGAAAAGAGTAATATATTTTGTTAAAAAAAAATTGATTTGCTTTCTTGGTGCTTATATATTAGAAATTGTTATGATGTTTTGAATGTAAATTAATTTAATATAATATTTTTGAAAAAAAAATGAAATGTTAAAATTGTATATTTATTTTTTAAAAGTTATATCAGGTGAACAATTATTACTATATGTGTGAAAAAAAAAAAAAAAAAAAAACCTATTATACTTCACTTAATTATAAGAAGGTTTGAGTCAGATTATTTGATCCAATTAAATTAAAAAAATGTTGATTTTTAGGTGTGTTTGTTCGGGTGTTTGGATTTTGAGTTGGGATTTAAATAGTAAAAATTTTGATTTTGAATAGTTATATGATTGTGATATAAATAGGTGTTGATGTAATGTTTTGAATGTAAAATTAATTTTTAGTATAATATAAAAAATAAAAAATAAGTGTTTGATTTGATTTTTTTGGAGGAAAAAATAAGATAAATAATAGATTGAAAATCTAATCCCCAGAACAATCACACCCCTCGGGTTTTTTTTCCCCTGTAAATATAGGTGCATTAATTGTTGTTTTTGAAATTATATATATATATATATATATTATTTTAAGGTAAAATAGTGATTAGATAGAATATTTTGAATAAGAATTTTTTTTTTTTAATTATGTGAGAATTTATAATTGTTATTCTGGTTAAATACCCAGCTGAACCTAATAGCCATGATCCAATCCTGACATTTAATTTAAGTCGTTGGACAAAGCATGTGGTGTTGTGGTCCATTGACTTATAAATTACTAATAAATAGAAAGGACAGTGGTACATTTTTTTTTTTTTTTGTTTTTGTTTATATTTTATGATTATATAATAGTTTTATTTAATATTTTGTAAGATTAAATAATATATATTATTTGAAAATTATAAAATTACATAGTAATGAAATAAATAACAAAAAAATTATTAAAAGAAAGAAACTATTACTTGATCTTAATTCTAAAATTAAAAATTCAAGTAGTGAATAAATGATCAAATTAGCACACCCAAAAGATTAATTAGTTACAAGGTTACATTTTAACATAAATTCAAGTGTAAAATTTATTGCATGTGTTTTTCATTTATTAATAAGTAAATAAACACAATCTCTAAATATGCATTAGTTTGCATAATTTCACGTTTTAATTAACACTATATCTATATATATATATATATATATATAGGGTAAAATATATTTTTACTCCAGTAATTGCTATCCTTATCATTTTAGTCTGGTAAGGGAGTCTGTCGCAAACTGGTCTCATAAGTGAAAGTTTTTTGCTGTTTTAATCCTCCGACGCCGGAGACGCCCGCATGGCTCGCCGGAGGCTACGTATCCGCCATATCAGCGACACCTGGCGGACCTGTAGATTTTTTCATTTTTTTTTAATTTTTTAAAATTGATTTTAAATTTTATTGCCTTCTTTAATTTTTTTTATTTGGTCCAATTGAAATTAAAAAAAATTTAAAAAAATAAAATCTACGTGTCCGCCACGTGTCGCTGACCTAACGGGACACCCGACGAATACGTGGCTTCCGGCGAGCCACGCAGGCGTCTCCAGCGCCGAAGGACTAAAACAATAAAAAATTTTCACTTATGAGACTAGTTTGCGACAAGCTCCACTTACAGGACTAAAATGATAAGAGGTCCACTTACTAGAGTAAAAAAAATAGTTTACTCAGTGTATATATATATATATATGACTTTGATTGTCATTCAAAATATATAGTTGGAAGTATGGTTTTATTACTTATAATATGATGTTGTAAAGTTAATAATTGGATTATGCGTGATATAATATATTTGATTAAAAATGAATTCAAAATATATATTAAAGTAATTCAAAAATTATACACAATAAATATGTT